TTAAAAAAAATTTTTAATTAACTGAAAAACCACTATTGTATTCACAAATAACCCATATTATTATCTTGTGGCCTTGTGTAATGTTCACCCTAGCTGACAAGTCTTCAAAAAGAGTTATAACGACTCTTATCTTCTTCACTTTAGCTGGCTATGCCATGTCTTATCTTCTTCACTTTAGCTGGCTATGCCATGTCATATTACATGATACTTGTTTTCTTCATTAATAGTGGTTTTCTATCATACACTTCACATTTTTGTGAAAGTGTCAAGACTGTACAAAACAAAAAGTAATTTTTTATCAAAAGGATTCTGATAGTGATTCACGGCAAACATGAATACCCAACCACTTGTTGACGTAGCAGGAGTAACTACACTCCTTGGTATTAAGATTTTTTATAAACTGTAAGTCCAGGCACTGTCCTTAGACTTCAAAACAATTGTATCAGCTGACATCTCCACACCAGTGTACAAAACACCACAGTACCTACAGTTACACAGGAAATAAAATGTATATTGTACTGTACTTCAGTACAGTTAAGGACTATTTTGTCAAAGTGTAAAGACCATGAAAACTAATGTTTTTAAGTAGTATATACAATGAAAGGATATAAATACATGTTATCCGGCATATAACCCCATACAACAAAGGCTTGCACTAATGAATTGTATATATATTCAAGAAAATGAAGTCACAATAAACAGGAAGAGCTGTTTCAAGGATAAATACAGAAAGGAGGAAAAAGTGTCTTGATAGACTGGAATGAATCCAGAGACCATCCTGCTGTTCTACAATATAAAAGCAAGGTACAGTACTGCATAACATTTATCCCAAATAAGGGTTACTTATGTTCCCCCAGAAATTGGGGGAAAAAAGTGCTATAATTTTCAATTTCACTAGTCTTGTGAAATTTTTCATAATGTATATGTAATACTGTATATATAATATGACTGTGTGCTGCTCTATTTTACTGGCATAGACAGTAGTGTGATTTGAAATATTTACATTGCACTGTTCTGGAAATAGTAATTTACAGTACTGTATTGGGAAAGGAGTATTCACATTTAAACATTTGATAAGATTTTGTTAATCCAATGTTAAATATAATATGGTGCTAAACAATGTAAAGAATGCAATCTATTATATTAGATATATGTTGTATAATAACATTTAAAATATGAATCACATAAAATATACTATGAACCAAATCTATTATTTACATGATTTAACAGTGTAATATTAAGCACACTTAAACATGAACAACAGGAAACAAAACATATGAATAAAGAAGAATGAGAAAAGATACAGAAAAAGAGAACTAAGAATGAAGTACAAAGGCTTACATATGAAAAGAGTCAGGAAGAAAAATAAAAGATTTCAGTGTGTGGAGAAATGTGGTGTTAAGAAATATCTGGAAGAGAAAAGACATTGAACTAATCCTACTGGACAGGATGATGGCCATCTGTTGATGAATGAATGTTTAAAGCAGGTAGTCAATGGTTAGGTATGTAGCATGCCCATCTTTCTGTTAACAGACGGAGGATCGAACCTCCACTTCTTGTGCTGAATAATCCACGTGGGTTTAACAGTTCATACTAAATAAAAAAGTACAGGAAATGTGATACTTGTCAAACAATCAAGAAGTAGGTGAGAGCCTGTGCTCATGTTAAGTGTGTATGGTGAGAGGAAGGACACATGTTAATACTGTGTGATGAGAGCATGCGCTGGTGTACAGTGTGTATGACATAACATCTATGACTCTTTAAGTGGTGCCTTGAAGGTGGATCAAACCTGATTACACCCACTCCTCCCAGTCCCCAGATATTATGACCCAACAGATTAGTGCTTCCCCATGAATATAATAATACTAATGATATCTACATGGTTCTATATAATGTGATGACAAAAATATGATGTACACATAAAGGTAAACAATACTACATGAGATTTATTTGGAGGTGAATAATGTGTTTGATAAGAACAAGCACTAAGTTCAATGAGTTTAATGAGAACAAGCACTGGCATATGGTGTGTGGACATGAGCATGGGATAGTGTGCATTACATGAGATCTTCGAGGTGGTGTACAACATAATGATACAAGAGCATAAGCTGGTGTACAACATTATAGGAGACCTTTTCTTAAGAAGTGATCAAGATTCCAAACTGCATTCTGGCCATCAGACCAGCATGCTATCCTCTACTCTACAGAGGGTAGAAAGAGAACCCCATGCATACACATACTGGGTTGGTAATCTCTGGATGACCAGACTGCTGATTCGAATATGTACATGTCAGACACGAGAGCATCTGATAGTGTACACCGTATATTACTCGTAAATAAACAGTCTACTGCCACAAAAATATTGCCATGGTGAGACAACCCCGTTCAAGTGAGTCAAATGGAAGTGCAGGGGTGCCATGGCTGGCTAATTTTTCATCCTTTCTATATACAGATAATCTAACATCTGCTTACGTGAATATCCCTCTTCTCTATGAAAATCCAAATATGAAGTTTCCATCTATAATAATGCTTCTCTTATATGTGTTTTATTTTGTCGAGTCTCTTTGCTTATAAAAAAAAGTTACATGACTAACAAAAAAGAATTAGTGTACCTAAGTATTTATTATCAGTGACTTAATTACTGTATTTAAAGTGACTTTTTTTTATGCACAATTTAATGATTTTTTTTTTTTATTAGTCACAAACTAATTTTTTTCCAAATAAATTTTTGCAAGTAGCATGGTTTTTTATTTTACCAAAAGGTTTAAATATTTCATAAAAAAAATTTTGGGGTTAATAAAATAATAAAATAAAAATCTGAACTAGGGGATAAAAATGATAATTAGTGAGATTTGCAATCTACATACGGATGATAAAATTTTATGGGGCTGTAATTATGAAACTTATTTGATTGACTTTGAGCATCAACAGCGGTTGCCGCACGCAACTGATTGCAACTACGGGCAAAGCTTTAAAATTTTATTTTATATTCTTTAAATTTACACCAATGAAAAGTAATAAGAATCTCTTGTGTTGCCGTGACAGAGGAAGGCAAAGCAGCACCGTAACGACTAGCCCGAGCGCTCATCGGATTTTGTGGTGGGTCAGTTTAAGCCATCTTTACGATAATGCTCCCCTTTACTGTGATTTAAACAAAAAATCAGATAGTACAATGTCCCCAAGAGGCTGCCAACCATAATTCACGGCAGTGGGTCGGTTCTGGTGAGCCTGCCAAAGCTCGAATCTTCAGTCCCCTTTTGTGGATTCACAGGAAATTTCGCCCCTAGGTCATCAAACTTTTAAATGTTCTGTTGTGTATATTTTGTATTTTTCCCCAAAAGACTCCCCAAGGGTTCACCTGAAAGAAAAGAATGATATTTCGTTTTAAACATTAAGAACTACATATTAAAAAAACAGGAAGTATAAATAACTGTTGTAACAGCAATATACTAGCCTACCTAAAAGGAATTAAATACAGTAGGGTTTTATAAAAACAAAAATTTTCCAAAAATTTTAATTTTTTCATTTAAATTGGGCAAAATTTAAATATGAAGAGGGATTCTGAATTAATGCTAAAACCAATTAAAATTTAAAAAACCAAAACATTTATGGCAGCTAAAAAGCAACAATCATTTATTTTTACTTAAAATTTTTTAAAAAAAAAAATTTTACTTCCCTAATCTTAAAAAACTTTTTATAATAATTTTTTTTAGTTTTCATTGATAACTTTCCTTTTTAAAAAATTTTTATTAACTCAAACTGTTCTATAACAAAGAAAAGGGAGGTATAAAGTTGCTCAAAGAAACCCCAGGGTTTTTGCATGCAGAAAGCCAGGGTGCCCTTGGCCTGGTGGCAAAAGCCTCGCTTCACAGGGTGAGAGCCGGGGGAAAATTCCCCAGCGAAGGGGTGGAAAACATCGGACGTGTTTCCTTAACCTTGTCTATGTTCACCCACGAAAAAGGGTACCGGGGTATTAATCAACTGGTGGGGGGCGATCCTGGGAAAACCCCCCCTATTTGCCCAAAATGTTCGCATAAAAAAGGGGGGTTTCATACAGTAGTATGCCATTATTCACGGGCCGTATACCTTTACTGTAAACACTACTTGTAGTAAATAAAGATTTTATATTTTTTTTTAAAATTTAATGGTTGCAACAGACAAGTTTACCGCAACGAGCCCCACCGCCCCATTTAAAGATCGCAACCTTGTGTCATACTCACCCTATACCCCATATTTCTGGTCTCTATAGTGTCAGGGAAAAGGATCAAGAAAAAAGGAAATTTTTATACCTGGGGAGTTGACACTCCCGGACTTAACTTCTCTTCAATCCCTTTCTGCTTTTGGCAGACCAGATCACAAAATCTAATTCTGAAAAAATACTCAAAAACAGTAAAACCAGTTTTCGATTAAAAAAAGAAATATTGCAACTAAGGTTCCAAATAAATTTAAAACCCCGCAAGAAAAAAGAACTTCATGCATACTAACTTACAGTACTCTATAGGTGTAAAAAAGTTGGGAGAATTTCGAAATAAAATTAAATAAAAAGGGCACAAGTGAAAAAAATGTGACATTTTTATTGTGGCAACATTTCACTCTCCAGGAGCTTGACAAAGCTCCTGGAGAGCGAAATGTTGCCACAATAAAAATGTCACATTAGTTGCACTTGTGTCCTTTTACTTTACATACTCTACAGGCGTACAACTCAAAAATACATGTGAAATAACATTACAATAACCTCTTGGTGTACATAACTGCAAAATACTGTATATGAACCGACTCTATAATACTGAGTGCATATGATTTCAAAGTACTATCATTTTTTGCTGATATATTTCAGTTGTTAGAACATTAAATAATTCTTTTCACTTCAGATGAATACAGAATTGAAACAAACTACCTCCACATGTAACACTGATCATTTATATTTTAATTTTCATGTGCTAAATTAATTAATAACAAAATAAAAAGAAAATTATTGAAAATAACCTAAAAAAAAATCATTACTGTATTGAAAGAGAACTTCCATGTGTGATCATTTTCTGTGCTGCATTTACTTTGTAAGCTGAGGTGAGAAACTCATGAAGAAATGGCCTCATAAGCTCTGCCCCCGTCTCAGCTGTTGACCGATGATCAAACAGGGTATAGTCGATATCCAGTACGAGCAACTTCTTCCCGGGCCGCATTTCATTCAAGATCTTCACTTCATATTCCTTGACTCGTTTCTCAACCTAGAGTACAGAATGATAACTTACTCTACGGAGTGAATTTTTTTTTTTTCAACAAGTCGGCCATCTCCCACCGAGGCAGGCTGACCCAAAAAGAAAGAAAATCCCCCAAAAGAAAATACTTTCATCATCATTCAATAATCACTGTTTTTGTAGAGGTGCCCAGAATACAACAGTTCAGAAGCATATACGTATAAAGATACACAACATATCCCTCCAAACTGCAAATATCCCGAACCCCTCCTTTAAAGTGCAGGCATTGTACTTCTCATTTCCAGGACTCAAGTCCGGTTATGTAAAAATAACCGGTTTCCCTGAATCCCTTCACTAAATATTACCCTGCTCACACTCCAACAGCTTGTCAGGTGCCAAATACAGTGGACCCCCACCTTACGATATTAATCCGTTCCTGAGAGCTCATCGTATGCCGAAATTATCGTAAGGCGAATTAATTTTCCCCATAAGAAATAATGGAAATCAAATTAATCCGTGCAAGACACCCCAAAGCATGAAAAAAAATTTACCACATGAAATATTAATTTTAATACACACAAACTGAAGAAGACATGCACAGTTAATACTCTGCTAAGAATAGAATACATGACACTTACCTTTATTGAAGATCTGGTGATGATTGATGGGATGGGAGGAGGGGAGTGTGTGGAAGTTGTTATTGTTTAGAAGGGGAATCCCCTTCCATTAGGACTTGATTTATCAAGTCCTTTTCTGGGGATACTTCCCTTCTTTTCATGCCACTAGGACCAGCTTGAGAGTCACTGGACCTCTGGCGCACAACAGATCTGTCCACAGAGCTCTGTACCTCTCGTTCCTTTATGATTTGTCTAAAATGGTTCACAACATTGTAGTTGCAATAGTCACCAGCACGGCTTGCAATAGCTGTGTGAGGGTGATTTTCATCCATAAAGGTTTGCACTTCAAGCCACTTTGCACACATTTCCTTAATCTCTTTTTTCAATTCCATACTAATTCTCACCTTTTTTACCACAGGGATGGCACTAGAAGCTTTCTCGGGGTCCATTTGACTTATTTTGCAGTTACAAGCACTAAAAACACTGGAATAATGTAAAATGTACCGAATGTATGCGTAGATGCGACTGCACTGGCTGGCTTGTAAACACTGGTGCTGAGGCCACACGTGGGACGCGTCCTGGACGAATCACGAAAGGCGAGTTTTTTAGCATGAGGAGAGGCAAAATTTTTGCGTTAAAATGTATCGTATGGTGGATTTAACATAACGCGATGCCATCGTAAGGCGGGGGTCCACTGTACCATTCGTCTCCATTCACTCCTATCGAACACGCTCACACATGCTTGCTGGAAGTCCAAGCCCCTCGCCCACAAAACCTCCTTTACCCCCCTCCTTCCAACCTTTCCGAGGATGACCCCTACCCCGCCTTCCTTCCCCTACAGATTTATATGCTCTCCATGTCATTCTACTTTGATCCATTCTCTCTAAATGACCAAACCACCTCAACAACCCCTCTTCAGCCCTCTGACTAATACTTTTATTAACTCCACACCCTCTCCTAATTTCCACACTTTGAATTTTCTGCATAATATTTACACCACACATTGCCCTTAGACAGGACATCTCCACTGACTCCAACCGCCTCCTCGCTGCAGCATTTACAACCCAAGCTTCACACTCATATAAGAGTGTTGGAACTACTATACTTTCATACATTCCCTTCTTTGCCTCCATAGATAACGTTTTTTTGTCTCCACATATACCTCAATGCACCACTCACCTTTTTTCCCTCATCAATTCTACGATTAACCTCATCCTTCAAAAATCCATCTGCCGACACTTCAACTCCCAAATATCTGAAAACATTCACTTCTTCCATACTCCTCCTCCCCAATTTGATATCCAATTTTTCTATATCTAAATCATTTGATACCCTCATCACCTTACTCTTTTCTATGTTCACTTTCAACTTTCTACCTTTACACACACTCCCAAACTCGTCCACTAGCCTTTGCAATTTTTCTTTAGAATCTCCCATAAGTACAGTATCATCAGCAAAAAGTAACTGTGTCAATTCCCATTTTGTATTTGATTCCCCATAATTTAATCCCACCCCTCTCCCGAACACCCTAGCATTTACTTCTTTTACAGCCCCATCTATAAATATATTAAACGACCATGGTGACATTACACATCCCTGTCTAAGACTAAGTTACTTTTACCGGGAAGTAGTCTCCCTGTCTTCTACACACCCTAACCTGAGCCTCATTATCCTCATAAAAACTCTTTACAGCATTTAGTAACTTACCACCTATTCCATACACTTGCAACATCTGCCACATTGCTCCCCTATCCACTCTATCACATGCCTTTTCTAAATCCATAAATGCAATAAAAACTTCCCTACCTTTATCTAAATACTGCTCACATATGTGTCACCCTGCCTCGGTGGGAGACGGCTGACTTGTTGAAAAAAAAAAAAAGATATGCTTCAATGTAAACACTTGATCTACACATCCCCTACCCACTCTAAAACCTCCTTGCTCATCCGCAATCCTACATTCTGTCTTACCTCTAATTCTTTCAATAATAACCTTACCGTACACTTTTCCTGGTATACTCAGTAAACTTATTCCTTTATAATTTTTACAAATCTCTTTTGTCCCCCTTCCCTTTATATAAAGGGACTATACACGCTTTCTGCCAATCCCTAGGTACCTTCCCCTCTTTCATACATTTATTAAACAAAAATACCAACCACTCCAACACTATATGCCCCCCTGCTTTTAACATTTCTGTCATGATCCTGTCAGTTCCAGCTGCTTTACCCCCTTTCATTTTATGTAATGCCTCACACACCTCCCCCATATTCACATCCTGCTCTTCTTCACTCCTAAAAGATGGTATACCTCCCTTGTCAGTGCATGAAATTACCGCCTCCCTTTGTTCGTCGACATTTAAAAGTTCCTCAAAATATTCTTGCCATCTACCCAATACCTCCATCTCCCCATCTACTAACTCCCCTGCTCTGTTTTTAACTGACAAATCCATTCGTTCCCTAGGCTTTCTTAACTTGTTTATCTCACTCCAAAATTTTTTCTTATTTTCATTAAAATTTCTTGACAGTGCCTCTCCCACTCTATCATCTGCTCTCCTTTTACACTCTCTCACCACTCTCTTCACCTTTCTTTTACTCTCCATATACTCTACTTATAACACTTCTGCTTTGTAAAAACATTAATGTCACAATAACAGACAACAATAGATTATTATGTTCATGAGGAAGCACTAAACCTATAGGTGTTGTACAGCACCTGGTGAATGGATGGAATCAGATCTGATGAAGAAAAAAAAAAAAAAAAAAAAAAAAAAAAGACGGTAGCTCCAATTCCTTGCAACAAGAGCCCTCATTAGCATCATGGCATACTTTTGAAGGGTATGCCATTATGTATAAAGAAAGCAGGATAATAAGGCTTCAGCAATGTAGCCTTAAATCCTGTGTATAATATGGGCTTCATGCAGAAAGGAGACATTTTTGGTTTTATATACAGTACATGTATTACCTTTTTTATTTATTTATTTATTTATTTAGTAATTTTAGCATACATACTGAGGTACAAAAAAATACAGGTAAGAGCAGCATGCCAAAGCCACTTATATGCATAGCATTACGGGCTGGCTTAAAATTAACTTAAGATTAACTAAGCAATGATGAAATCAGTGATAAAACATTATTGTAAACAGATAACTATAAAGCACAAATGAGTATTACAAAGACAGGTCATATGGTTGCATGCATTGCTGTACATTCAGTCGAATGGAGTATTCTGTTAGGTAGTGTATTTAAAAAAATAACAAAGTTAGATTGGGTCCTAGGTTTAACATTTGTGTGATATAATTGTGAGTAACATATAGGATATACAATTTATAAGGTTCAGTTATTCAGTATTTATTTGGTTTTGAGTGAGTAAGTGATCTTTGAGAAGAGACTTGAATTTATAAACAGGTAGTGTTTCTTTATATTTACAGGTAATGAATTCCAGATTTTAGGGCCTTTTATGTGCATTGAGTTTTTGCATAGCGTGAGATGGACACAAGGAACATTAAAGAGTGATCTGTGCCTTGTGTTATGGTCATGTGTTCTGTTGAGGTTGGCAAGGAGATGTTTGAGGGGAGGGTTAATATCAGAGTTAAGTGTTCTATGTATGTAATAGGTGCAGTAATAAGTATGGATGTTTTGTATGGTGAGTAGGTTGAGTGTTTTGAATATTGGTGGAGTGTGCTGCCTGTAGTGAGAATTTGTTATCATTCTAACTGCAGCCTTTTGTTGGGTAATTAGTGGTCTGAGATAGTTAATTGTTGTTGAGCCCCATGCACAAGTTCCATAGGTGAGATAGGGGTAAATAATTGAGTGACAAAGGGCCAGGAGGGCTGACTGTGGAACATAGTACCGTATCTTCGATAGTATGCCTACAGTCTTGGAAATTTTCTTAGAAATTTGTTGTATATGTGTATGAAATTTGAGTCTATTATCAAGGTGGATTCCTAAGAATTTTCCCTCTGTTAGCTTTGTGATAGGTGATCTGTTTATTGTTATGTTAAGAGGTACATCTGTAGCTCTGTTACCAAACTGAATGAAGTAGGTTTTGTCAATGTTTAGTGTAAGTTTGTTAGTCCTCATCTAGGTAGATATTTTCTGTAATTCGGTGTTTACAGTATTGGCTAGCGTGACTGGGCTCGGGTGAGAGAAGACGTATGTAGTGTCATCTGCAAAAAGTGTGGGTTTGAGTAATTGCGAAGCATTTGGTAGGTCATTTATGTATAGGAGAAAGAGAAGAGGGCCAAGGACACTTCCCTGTGGGACACCAACTGTAATTGGTTGAGCGGAAGAGCTTGCCCCATTTGCATACACATATTGGCTTCTGTTGCTGAGGTATGACTTGAGGTAGTTGAGGGAGTGCCCTCTAATACCATAGTGTGACAATTTTACGTGGAGCAAGTCATGGTCAACTGTATCAAAAGCTTTACGTAAGTCAATGAAGATCCCCAATGGGACTTCTTTTTTCTCTATTGCAGTGTATATATGTTCTAGCATGTGTATAATAGCATCATTAGTATTTTTATTAGGCCAGAATCCAAATTGGCAGGGTTGAGAATGTTTTGGGAGATGAGGTAGGAGTAGATTCGTTTATGAATTAATTTTTCGAAGATTTTTGAGAGAGGGTGTAAATTGGATATTGGCCTATAGTTATTCAACTCTGTTTGGTCTCCTCCTTTATGGATCGGGGTGACCCTTGCTATTTTGAGAACTGTAGGGAAGGTGGAGGATTCAATGGATTTGTTAAAGAGTGTTGCAATGATTGGTGATAGTACTTGTGACGCTTTTTTGTAAAGGGTGGTATTTAAATCTCTTGCCTTGTTTTTTAGTGCGTTGATAATAAGGGAGACTTCGTATGGGTTAGTCGGAGCTAGGAACAGTGTGTTCGGGTAGTTGCCAGTGAGGTAGTCATTTGGTGGGGTATCTGAGCTTGGGATTTTATTGGCAAGGTTTTGTCCTATAGTGGAGAAGAAATCATTGAGTCTGTTTGCTGTTTCTGTTGGTGGGAGTTGGGGTTCATCTGATTTTGCTAATTTTATTTTGCTATTTCGTGATATCTTTTTTGTTCCCAGAATTTCTGATAGGGTCTTCCAGGTCTTTTTTATATCACCTCGTAAGTTGGATAATCTGTTCTCATAACACAGTTTTTTTGCCCTTCTTATCAGGCTGGTTAGGATTGACGAGTAACGTTTTGTTTGGTCTCTGGTTATGTGACCCATTCTGTACTGTTTTTCATATCGGTGTTTTGTATTTAGTATAAACAGAATCCTTCCTCCGTAAGTCATGCATGTCATAAGAGGTAACTAAAATACCAGGAACAAGGGGCTAGTAACCCCTTCTCTTTTATAAATTACTAAATGTAAGAAGAAAAATTTTCATTTTTCTTTTTAGCTCACTCTGCTTCAGTGGAAGATGGTTGGTGCATTAAAATATGGATTTATTACTATTTACAATTCTTTATTGTTACTGTCTAATCTCACCACTGACCATAAATCTGAAAAAGAACAAGCTTATTAATTTTGAAAATAATAAAGACTTACTTTCTGTAAGTACTCAGAGCGATTCTCAATAGCTACTTCTTCCTCTTCAATGTCGAGATCATTTATGACCGGAGGCAAGTCATCTGGAATACGCTGAGCTTCCTCAACACTAGCCTCTAAGGAACCCATCATCATTATCTGTAAAATGGTTTATATAAAAATGGTCTCATAATTACTAATAATACTGTCTGCATAATATGTGTGATATATTAAAATGAATCATTAAACCCCTATGGTTCAACAAGTGATAAAGGCTCTATCCCCCATCCGCTACATTCAGTGGAACCTTGATACTCAAACACCTCCCTACTCAAACAAAGCTTAGCACTCGACCAAACAAACATAACCTTGCCAGAACTTTGCTGTAAACTATTTTGTATTTCTTTGCATTGTTTGGTATTTTTTTGTACAGGTCCACATCCTTTATCCGAAACCTTGGGGCCAGTCATATTTCAAATTTCAGAATTTTTCAAATTTCAAATTAAGGTGGGGTCAAGGGCAGTACCCCATAATCAAACATTAACACTGCAGCAAAAACGTATGAATACTCGCGCTAAGTGGGATAAATAAAGACTACAAATACTACTATGGTTTATTTATAGAGTAATATATTGATAAATGAAATAATGGGATAATTATAGACCAGGAACATGATTCTCAAGATGATTGACAGACTGCATTTTTAAAGACTTCTTCAAGTGTCATCTGTCTTATTAACATAGGTTTGTCTAACCAATCTCTCTTAAACTGAGTAAATTGCTATAATCTCTTGCTCATTGATAAATGTGCATTATTTAAGGCCAGCAGTTCACTGATCACACATTTTCACTATATCGTCTATGGGGACTTTTTCACCTGTCTTCACAATGTCATCATCATCACTGCTGTTCTCATGTTTATTTGCATTTAACACTATTTCAGTAATTTCACCATCACTCAAAATATGCACAACAGGTGCATCATTATCAATGTTCAGCATTTCTTTGATGTCAGCTTCCTGTAACTTATTAACACTTTCATCCGATAAACTTTCAGCGTAAGTTATGAGGTTTGATATCATTTTCTTCTCATCAGTGACACGAAATCCTTCAGTCTTCATCTGTAGGCTCGTTTACATCAAATATCGTTTTAGGCCAGAGTCTGTGCCAAGCATTTGTTAATGTTGATTTATCAACATCCTTCCAAGCATTAAACACAGTCACAAAATAAAAGGCAAAAACAAAATATCAGCAAACAGCAGACGCACGTGTGAACACTACAAGCGATGAGGCACAACTGATGCCTGCCACTCTGGATGTCAGTGCTGGGTCATGCCACCATGTTGCGGCGTTGGAATTATGTAGAGATGACTGACACTCCACACTCCAAGAAAAAACTTCGGTTCTCGAAACTTTTTGAATTTCAGAATTTCGGATAAAGGGATATGGACCTGTAAAAGACTTCACATTATGCAGAACAAATCTATTACTGCAACTCCTCACAAATTCTATGTGGATTTTCCCACATACAGCTTTTCTTCAAAATTCTTGATTTATGTTATTAGGTTAGGTTAGACTGTCATCAAGCAATCAAAATTAACTAATTATAATACCTGAATGTCAATAAATGTAGTGTTAATAAGGTAAATAAGAAGGTCGACTTTTAGTTGGTCTATGCTTTCTGTTCCCCCAGCATTTTATTTTTCACCTGCACTACAAATTCACTTAGTAGTGCTGTGACATGTTATTTATTGAACAGTAATCTAACCTAACTACATCAAACCCAAGCAAAAATAATGATTTATAAACAGTCAGAATTATGATTGTTGCTTAGGAGGATGGGCTGATTAATGCTAAGTTCATTTAATGATACCTGGAGTTTACCTGGAGAGAGTTCCGGGGGTCAACGCCCCCGCGGCCCGGTCTGTGACCAGGCCTCCTGGTGGATCAGAGCCTGATCAACCAGGCTGTTGCTGCTGGCTGCACGCAAACCAACGTACGAGCCACAGCCCGGCTGGTCAGGAACCGACTTTAGGTGCTTGTCCAGTGCCAGCTTGAAGACTGCCAGGGGTCTGTTGGTAATCCCCCTTATGTATGCTGGGAGGCAGTTGAATAGTCTCGGGCCCCTGACACTTATTGTATGGTCTCTTAACGTGCTAGTGACACCCCTGCTTTTCATTGGGGGTATGTTGCATCGTCTGCCAAGTCTTTTGCTTTCGTAGTGAGTGATTTTCGTGTGCAAGTTCGGTACTAGTCCCTCTAGGATTTTCCAGGTGTATATAATCATGTATCTCTCCCTCCTGCGTTCCAGGGAATACAGTTTTAGGAACCTCATGCACTCCCAGTAATTGAGGTGTTTTATCTCCGTTATGCGCGCCGTGAAGGTTCTCTGTACATTTTCTAGGTCAGCAATTTCACCTGCCTTGAAAGGTGCTGTTAGTGTGCAGCAATATTCCAGCCTAGATAGAACAAGTCACCTGAAGACTGTCATCATGGGCTTGGCCTCCCTAGTTTTGAAGGTTCTCATTATCCATCCTGTCATTTTTCTAGCAGATGCGATTGATACAATGTTATGGTCCTTGAAGGTGAGATCCTCCGACATGATCACTCCCAGGTCTTTGACGTTGGTGTTTCGCTCTATTTTGTGGCCAGAATTTGTTTTGTACTCTGATGAAGATTTAATTTCCTCGTGCTTACCACATCTGAGTAATTGAAATTTCTCATCGTTGAACTTCATATTGTTTTCTGCAGTCCACTGAAAGATTCGGTTGATGTCCGCCTGGAGCCTTGCAGTGTCTGCAATGGAAGACACTGTCATGCAGATTCGGGTGTCATTTGCAAAGGAAGACACGGTGCTGTGGCTGACATCCTTGTCTATGTCGGATATGAGGATGAGGAACAAGATGGGAGCGAGTACTGTGCCTTGTGGAACAGAGCTTTTCACCATAGCTGCCTCGGACTTTACTCTGTTGACGACTACTCTCTGTGTTCTGTTAGTGAGGAAATTATAGATCCATCGACCGACTTTTCCTGTTATTCCTTTAGCACGCATTTTGTGTGCTATTATGCCATGGTCACACTTGTCGAAGGCTTTTGCAAAGTCTGTATATATTACATCTGCATTCTTTTTATCTTCTCGTGCATTTAGGACCTTGTCGTAGTGATCCAATAGTTGAGACAGACAGGAGCGACCTGTTCTAAACCCATGTTGCCCTGGGTTGTCTAACTGATGGGTTTCTAGATGGGTGGTGATCTTGCTTCTTAGGACCCTTTCAAAGATTTTTATGATATGGGATGTTAGTGCTATCGGTCTGTAGTTCTTTGCTGTTGCTTTACTGCCCCCTTTGTGGAGTGGGGCTATGTCTGTTGTTTTTAGTAACTGTGGGACTACCCCATGTCCATGCTCCCTCTCCACAGGATGGAAAAGGCTCGTGATAGGGGCTTCTTGCAGTTCTTGATGAACACGGAGTTCCATGAGTCTGGCCCTGGGGCAGAGTGCATGGGCATGTCATTTATCGCCTGTTCGAAGTCATTTGGCATCAGGATAACATCGGATAGGCTTGTGTTAACCAAATTTTGTGGCTCTCTCATAAAAAATTCATTTTGATCTTCGACTCTCAGTCTGGTTAGCGGCTTGCTAAAAACTGAGTCATATTGGGACTTTAGTAGCTCACTCATTTCCTTGCTGTCATCTGTGTAGGACCCATCTTGTTTAAGTAGGGGCCCAATACTGGATGTTGTTCTTGACTTTGATTTGGCATAGGAGAAGAAATACTTTGGGTTTCTTTCGATTTCATTTATGGCTTTTAGTTCTTCCCGCGATTCCTGACTCCTATAAGATTCCTTTAGCTTGAGTTTGATGCTTGCTATTTCTCTGACCAGTGTCTCCCTACGCATTTCAGATATATTGACCTCTTTTAGCCGCTCTGTTATTCTTTTCCATCGCCTGTAAAGAGAGCGCCTGTCTCTTTCTATTTTACATCTACTCCTCCTTTTTCTTAGAGGAATAAGCCTTGTGCATACATCGAGTGCCACCAAGTTAATCTGTTCTAGGCATAAGTTGGGGTCTGTGTTGCTTAGTATATCTTCCCAGCTTATATCGGTTAGGACTTGGTTTACTTGGTCCCACTTTATGTTTTTGTTATTGAAGTTGAATTTGGTGAATGCTCCCTCGTGACTAGTCTCATTATGTCTGTCTGGGGCTCCACGCATACATGTCTGCACCTCAATTATGTTGTGATCTGAGTATATTGTTTTTGATATGGTGACATTTCTTATCAGATCATCATTGTTAGTGAAGATGAAGTCTACTGTATTCTCCAGTCTAGTAGGCTCTATTATTTGCTGGTTTAAATTGAATTTTGTGCAGAGATTTAAAAGCTCGTGTGAGTGTGAGTTTTCATCAGAGCTGCCTCCTGGTGTTATTACTGCAATAATATTATTTGGCACTTCAAAAATGAAAAATAAATAATGTGTACAATATAGGAAGAGAAACAGATTTATTAAATGTTTTGTAGGTCTAAAACAGTATAGTGATAGTGCCTTTCAAAAAGGACTGACACATTCTCTAAAATTTCTTCTATAAATCATGATTAGTTTCTCTAAAATTTCCTCTGCAAATTGTGAGTTAGTTGCATTAGCCATTTAATCTATACATCCTTTTATAATAAATGCTTCTTTCCCCAACTTGTTTCTGTAATCACTTATTACATTATGCATCAGATAAAACAACCATTAATTCCCAAATCTACACAAACTGTATTAAAAATTCAATGAAACAGTTGAAAAATAAAATTATGAAAAAAAAAAAAATGTAATCCTCTCAATAATTACCATATAAAAATCACCAATGCATTATTAAGCTGATTTAAAGTAAAATATGATGCAATTCCGTTTACTGAAAAATGGTATGGTGATACCGACAAGATGTAGAAAAAATACACCCGTGTACAAAAGCGTCTTTCTTCACATTTTTGTTTACCTTTGTTCCTGGTCTTAGGCTGATTGCTCCCATCTTGGTGTCATCATCCGGAGTTTTTCCTAAAGAAAAGCATTATTTTAACTTATTAAATTCCCAAACACTTTATAAACACAAAATTATGCCATCTCGTACTTCAATCTGCTATGGTAACTGTTCCAAGACAAATGAAGATAAGATGGGAAAAGCATCATGGTGAAGACAAGATAAAATCACAATGATTAGCAGTGTACAATATTTTGTTTTTACGATTACTATTACATGTTTGATTGGTGTCAGTGGGTACGGGAGTTATTTCTTGGGTAGCTTTAGGTAGAGGTTGTTTTGATAAGGACCTGCCTTGCATGGACCACTAGGCCTTCTGCAGTGTTCCTCCATTCTTATGTTCTTATGTCATAAATCAAATATTATTTTGAACCTGCTGCAGTAAATGGAGTACAATATACATAGAAGATTCTCACAAACAAGCAGTAATATTACAGTCAAGACATATATGGCTACCATGAGAGTTGGAGGTCAAAAATTAGTATATACATGCACATTAATTTGTATACAGTGTACAGCATTATTATTAAATCATGAAGAGTGCTTCTATCATCTTTCCCCCAAGGGAGGGAGGGAGAGATAAAAGATGACAGAGAGAGAGAGAGGAAAAGAGGGAGAGACTGAGCACATTCAGCCAATGAAGGAGTCTGAAATGAAGGTGGCATTTTCCATTTTCTCTGAAACAGAAAAATTATTCAAAAGAGGTTGAACTATCAACATGACCTGACAATTCATGAAGAGTAGTGCCAGCATTTTATTTACATGAAATGGTCAGGTATGAGAATAATGTGACCAAGATTAAAACATGCAAATACAATAGGTCCCTTACTAAGGAATTTAATGCACTCTTTGAAAATTGTTTGCACCTTCAGTGAACAAAACTTGACACCCATTTTCTCATAGATGGTTTCCCAAACTGTAATATTCCCTACCCAATTTCATGTATTTTTACCAATGAAATTAAAAAAACTGTACAACAATCAGTCGAGTTCCTCTCTCTTCCCTTCCCTCCTTCCTCCTCCCCCCTCCCTTCCATTCCCTAAGCTCCCTCTCTCCCATTCGTTCCCTCTCTCCCATTCGTTCCCTCTCTCCCATTCATTCCCTCTCTCCCATTCGTTCCCTCTCTCCCACCCATTTGTTCTCTCTCTCCCATTCATTCCCTCTCTCCCATTCACTCCCCCCCGATGAAAACATTATGTACACCACATGCACGAAATTTAACAAGGCACTGGCACTTTATATCTAAAAAAACATATAGCAAATCATTAATGCCAAGTCGGCCGAGTCATAACAAGATTCATAAAGAGCAATCCTGAATTAAACTAATTAATTCACTAGTAATTTTCATTTTATACACAGAAGCACTAAACTTGTAGGGGGTCATACAGCACCTGGGGAATGGAAGGCATTCAGGTTAGAGCCAAGGAAGGGGAAGTTAAGTCCCATTCCTTGGATCAAGAGCCCCTCAACGGCATCAAGGGTTGATAAACAAGTCATACATTAACCAGGAACACTATGGTTATTATTATTATAATCACGGGGAAGCGCTAAACCCATAGGATTATACAGCACCTGTGGAGGGGGGACAGATAAAAGGTATTCAGGCTTAATTCGGGGAACCGAAGCACAGATCAAATTCCCTAGATCAAGAGCCCCTGACCAGCATCAAGGAACCTCCCTGGAGGGGAACACTATGGTGAACTACACCCTCCAGGTATTTACCCAATATGACACCTGCCTTTCAGCTTCAGATTAAGCAGCTTCTGGCGGTGAGGTCTGACACAGGTCTGCTTCTCAATAGCATCTTTGAAGTCCTTGACCGTCATAACAGACTCGTCCACCTCAATATCATACTCCTTGCCATTCCACTTGACAGTGATAGACTTCATCCTGGAGGCGGCAGCAGTGGTGCCTCCTTCCTATATTTCCTATTTAACACCGCCGATTACTGCATTCACATTGATCTCCGTCTTCTCAGGTCCTCAAACTCGATGATTCGCTAGTTGTTACTTTAGGAAGCTTGTGTTTTGGGGTAATATTTTCAAAAGTATTAACAGAGAGCAGCCGTCGAGGCCTTGCTAGTGTTTACTGATGACGTCACACCAGCTGACACTAGTTCCTGACTTACTAAGGTACACTAATTATAACTACATGAGTTTATTTAGGTATATACAAATACAGTTATATAGATTATCATACATAGCAGCATATGTGTACAGAACCTGGAATAACCCCAAAAAAAGTCAAAATGGCTTATTTCCACTGGGGTCCTTTCAACCTCCTTATAACCTCTGCCAACTTTATATTAAATATTTCACCAAAATCTCCCTTAAAATAAATTTTTCTAAGCTATGCATTTATAAAAAAGTTACATTTCGCCACTAGTTGTTTAGATTAAGCTTGATTATTCGTGAATATAATTTTTTTAACTTATCCTTGTAAGGAACTAATAACAAGCGTTTCTCACTTAAGAATCCGAATTTTCTTTTAGAAAAATCCAGAACTGACAATACATATACAAATACAATTTTTTGCCTCTGTAAACCTTTGATTACTTCCCTACAGAATGTGTATGAGATGCATAATAACGATATTAAACTATTTCTTTGTGTGGTACAGGAATAGCGTAATTTACATGCAATGAAACACTGATAGACACATAAGAAGTCACTAGTGTCTAGTAGTGTGTAAAACTTAGTTCTTTCAGTCTTTTTCGATACAATAATATTCTTATGATAAGATTTCGATCGGAGTTTTAACCCTGGAGGGTTAGCCACCCAGGATAACCCATAAAAGTCAGTGCGTCATTAAGGACTGTCTGTCTTATTTCCATTATGGTCCTCAATCTTGTCCCCCAGGATGCCACCCTCACCAGTCCACTAGCATCCAGGTACCTACTTACTGCTAGGTGAACAGGACAACAGGTGAAAGGAAACACGTCGAGATATTTCCACCCTCTTAGTCAGTAATTTTTGTTTTTAGGTGGGATCACTATTAAGTTTATTTAGGTACACATATGTACAGGTATACAAATTTAAGTATAACCGCAATTATCATATATAGTAACATATGTGAAAAGTGACTTATTTCCATTGAGTTCATTGTAATATATAAATACCAGCTGTGAGACACAGTAGAAATCAGATGTTAATGTAACCTTAAAAATTAAAACAGATGAGTAACTCAACTGAATGAAAACCATTTACAGTTCAAGGAGGTGCAATAGAAGTAAAATGAACTGAGTTATTTACATAAATATTAAATAGAAAAGACCGACTTACAATAATATTGACACCCATGTTAACTATACTGGTGCTACGTTAATTTACGTATACCTCAGGACGATTTAGGGGGTCGTCGACCCCACATTCATACAAGGAATCTTTTTACCTAAACATTTTTTTTCAGTATTTATATTCTATTCCATGGCTCTAGAGTCCTCGTAAATGGGGAGTGTATATAACTTATCTCGTTACACGTCAGTCATATTGGATGGTGCAACATGATGATGATAATGAGTGTGGATGGTGTCACATCCTGGTGACAGTGAATATGGATGGTGTAAAATACTGATGATAATGAGTGTGGATGGTGCCATATCCTGGTGATGAGTATGGATGGTGCAACATCCTGAGGGCAATGAGTGTGGATGGTGCAACATACTGGTGATAGAGAGTGTGGATGGTGTCACATCCTGGTGACAATGAGTGTGGCTGGTACCACAGACTGATGATAGTGTTACAACGCAATGAGTGTTAGTTTTGAGTGTGGCTGGTACCACAGACTGATGATAGAGAATGATACAACACAATGAGTGTTAGTTTTGAGTGTGGCTGGTACCACAGACTGGTGATAGTGATACAACACAATGAGTGTTAGTTTTGAGTGTGGCTGGTACCACAGACTGATGATAGAGAATGATACAACACAATGAGTGTTAGTTTTGAGTGTGGTTGATACCACAGACTGATGATAGAGAATGATACAACACAATGAGTGTTAGTTTTGAGTGTGGCTGGTACCACAGACTGATGATAGAGAATGATACAACACAATGAGTGTTAGTTTTGAGTGTGGCTGGTACCACAGACTGGTGATAGTGATACAACACAATGAGTGTTAGTTTTGAGTGTGGCTGGTACCACAGACTGATGATAGAGAATGATACAACACAATGAGTGTTAGTTTTGAGTGTGGTTGATACCACAGACTGATGACAGAGAGTGATACAACACAATGAGTGTTAGTTTTGAGTGTGGCTGGTACCACAGACTGATGACAGAGTGATACAACACAATAAGTGTTAGTTTCGAATGTGATACAACACAATAAGTGTTAGTTTTGAGTGTGATAGAACACAATAAGTGTTAGTTTTGAGTGTGGCTGGTACCACAGACTGATGCCAGAGAGTGATACAACACAATAAGTGTTAGTTTTGAGTGTGGCTGGTACCACAGACTGATGACAGAGAGTGATGCAACACAATAAGTGTTAGTTTTGAGTGTGGCTGGTACCACAGACTGATGACAGAGTGTGATACAACACAATAAGTGTTAGTTTTGAGTGTGGCTGGTACCACAGACTGATGACAGAGTGTGATACAACACAATAAATGTTAGTTTTGAGTGTGGCTGGTACCACAGACTGATGACAGAGTGTGATACAACACAATAAGTGTTAGTTTTGAGTGTGGATGGTACCACAGACTGATGACAGAGAGTGATACAACACAATAAGTGTTAGTTTTGAGTGTGGATGGTACCACAGACTGATGACAGAGAGTGATACAACACAATAAGTGTTAGCTTTGAGTGTGATACAACACAATAAGTGTTAGTTTTGAGTGTGGCTGGTACCACAGACTGATGACAGAGAGTGATACAACACAATAAGTGTTAGTTTTGAGTGTGGCTGGTACCACAGACTGATGCCAGAGAGTGATGCAACACAATAAGTGTTAGTTTTGAGTGTGGCTGGTACCACAGACTGATGACAGAGAGTGATACAACACAATAAGTGTTAGCTCTGAGTGTGATACAACACAATAAGTGTTAGTTTTGAGTGTGATACAACACAATAAGTGTTAGTTTTGAGTGTGGCTGGTACCACAGACTGATGACAGAGTGTGATACAACACAATAAGTGTTAGTTTTGAGTGTGGCTGGTACCACAGACTGATGACAGAGTGATACAACACAATAAGTGTTAGTTTCGAATGTGATACAACACAATAAGTGTTAGTTTTGAGTGTGATAGAACACAATAAGTGTTAGTTTTGAGTGTGGCTGGTACCACAGACTGATGCCAGAGAGTGATACAACACAATAAGTGTTAGTTTTGAGTGTGGCTGGTACCACAGACTGATGACAGAGAGTGATGCAACACAATAAGTGTTAGTTTTGAGTGTGGCTGGTACCACAGACTGATGACAGAGTGTGATACAACACAATAAGTGTTAGTTTTGAGTGTGGCTGGTACCACAGACTGATGACAGAGTGTGATACAACACAATAAATGTTAGTTTTGAGTGTGGCTGGTACCACAGACTGATGACAGAGTGTGATACAACACAATAAGTGTTAGTATTGAGTGTGGATGGTACCACAGACTGATGACAGAGAGTGATACAACACAATAAATGTTAGTTTTGAGTGTGGATGGTACCACAGACTGATGACAGAGAGTGATACAACACAATAAGTGTTAGCTTTGAGTGTGATACAACACAATAAGTGTTAGTTTTGAGTGTGGCTGGTACCACAGACTGATGACAGAGAGTGATACAACACAATAAGTGTTAGTTTTGAGTGTGGCTGGTACCACAGACTGATGCCAGAGAGTGATGCAACACAATAAGTGTTAGTTTTGAGTGTGGCTGGTACCACAGACTGATGACAGAGAGTGATACAACACAATAAGTGTTAGCTCTGAGTGTGATACAACACAATAAGTGTTAGTTTTGAGTGTGATACAACACAATAAGTGTTAGTTTTGAGTGTGGCTGGTACCACAGACTGATGACAGAGTGTGATACAACACAATAAGTGTTAGTTTTGAGTGTGACTGGTACCACAGACTGATGACAGAGAGTGATACAACACAATAAGTGTTAGTTTTGAGTGTGATACAACACAATAAGTGTTAGTTTTGAGTGTGGCTGGTACCACAGACTGATGACAGAGTGTGATACAACACAATAAGTGTTAGTTTTGAGTGTGGCTGGTACCACAGACTGATGACAGAGAGTGATACAACACAATAAGTGTTAGCTCTGAGTGTGATACAACACAATAAGTGTTAGTTTTGAGTGTGATACAACACAATAAGTGTTAGTTTTGAGTGTGATACAACACAATAAGTGTTAGTTTTGAGTGTGGCGGGCAGTAGAGGGACCAATGAGAGGTGTTGCGGTGCTGGCGAATCAGAGGGAAGAGTTAGACCACGTCAAGCTGCAGTTAGCAGTCGCCAGGCGTTGAGGGTACAGGCAGCTGCTGGTTCCTCCTCCTCATCACCCTCTAATTAAACACACGCACCTAAGCCATGGCCGAACAGTAGGTGTTGTGCTTTTAAAACAAGTGTAATAATGTGGAAAATACAAGTGAAGTGCGGTATGAGGCCAAGTGGAGCGTGTGGAACCCGGGTGCGTTGCACCCTAGGTATCATGTCTGGCTTATTACGCACTCTAATGGCGTGTATGGGTTATCTGCGGGATCCCTGATCACGGCGGAGGTTTCCAGGGGGTAAAATGGCCTCCCAGGGGATGTAATTTGGGGAAAAATGGAGGATGTTTCCGGGCGATGTGAGGCGGCCAGCGTCCAGCCACCTTCAATTTTGCTCCGTCACCTCGACTCCCGGCACCCAAAATGCCCTCTATTTGACGCTGCTTTTACGCAATTCCCCACCTTTTTGGTGGGTTGTGATAACCGACGGGTGTCCTCTGCAGTTATGGGTGTCCTGGGAATGCGGCAGATGTATAGTAGTGGGTAGATTAGTTTAAGGAATTGATGTTTACGACAAAGAGAGAACGGGGAATCTCAGCTGATTGAGGCAGAACCTGTACTGGGGGACCACAACGTGTCTATGACGGGCCCATGACTCATCCTGGCATCTTGATTGATACACGATCTGTATTGGGGCCCCTGTCTGGGATGACTCTTCCACCCTGAACCATCCTGGGGTGGATATGGGGTGAGATGTGTACTGGGGGTCTGAAGTGATTTGTCCCCCTTATGATAACTCGGATGATTTGGGTGAAACTTGTTTTGGGCCCCTGTGTTTCGGACTAGTGTGATTGAGATAATTGTATTAGGCCCCTTAGTATTTATGGTGGCTCATTAACCCCCCCCTCCCCCTGATCTACTCTGGATAGATGTAAACTGTGTACTGGGGGCCCCTCAGTGTCTTATGGGCCCCCTTGACACCTGGGATGATTGAGGACCCCCAATGGAAATACTCACTTTGACTTTTATGGGTTATCCTAGGTAATTTACAAGTTTAAAATGTGTATGAGAGTTGTACTTATGTGTACCTGTACCTAAATAAACTCAATAAACTTGTATTGGGGGCTCCTGTGTGTTATAATGGCCCTTGTGACTCATCCTAGCATGATTGAGGCAGATTTCGTATTGGGAAACCATGACTTGCTCATTATTGAGGAAGAACCTATAATAGAGGCCCTCCAGGTCTAAAATTAAAAATATAATAAGAACTTTGTCCGTAAAGAGTGGTTTGCAATTAGTACAGAAAGGTGATATTGGCACGATTTATAGAAGACCCTGGTTATGCAGAGTATTTTGGGCATCCAAAATACTATGACATTAATGAAAATTTCCTACTTGATTGGATTATTCTAGGCCAGTCATAGTATTAAACAATATTCATCTTTATTTACTACAAGTACATGTACAAGGTATACAAACCATAGCTAACATCAGTGACATACTACCATATAGAAAGCCCCTTGTTATGCTGACCATTTTGAGTAAATTAGGTCAGTTTTGTCCCAAGATGCGACCCACACCAGTCCACTAACACCCAGTTACCCATTTTAAACTGTTGAGTGAACAGGGACAGGGACAGCAGGTGTCTTATGGAAACACATCTCTAATGTTTTCCAGCTGTACCAGAGGAGATTCGAACCCCGGACCTTGGCTGCAGAAAGGGAGTTAATTAATTCCTTGTACTCTTAAGATATTCCTAATTGGTTTATTGATAAATGATCATTTTTGTGTTAATTGGTTTGTATTAATATTACCAAGAATAGAGAATAAGACGGCATCACGTTGTGAATATGTAAAATTAAGAATATACTATACAGAAGGAGGGGTGTTAATATTGCAGTTTAAAAACTAGTGTAAAGCACCCTTCTGGCAAGACAGTGATGGAGTGAATGATGGTGAAAGTTTTTCTTTTTCGGGCCACCCTGCCTTGGTGGGAATCGGCCAGTGTGATAATAATAAAAAAATACAGTACATGTACAGTTTAATGCAAGGATCCCGATGAAAATAAGCTACATTATTTGACTTTATTGGGTTGTTAAGGTCGCAGACAGGCAATCTTAACTATACAAGACAAGCCACGGGGTGTGGAAATCTTCCACCCCACTGTGGCTTGTCTTGCATATATATACATGTATACGTATACTGTACATTGTGTATTTATTTATTATCACACTGGCCGATTCCCACCAAGGCAGGGTGGCCCGAAAAAGAAAAACTTTCACCATCATTCACTCCATCACTGTCTTGCCAGAAGGGTGCTTTACACTACAGTTTTTAAACTGCAACATTAACACCCCTCCTTCAGAGTGCAGGCACTGTACTTCCCATCTCCAGGACTCAAGTCCGGCCTGCCGGTTTCCCTGAATCCCTTCATAAATGTTACTTTGCTCACACTCCAACAGCACGTTAAGTATTAAAAACCATTTGTCTCCATTCACTCCTATCAAACACGCTCACGCATGCCTGCTGGAAGTCCAAGCCCCTTGCACACAAAACCTCCTTTACCCCCTCCCTCCAACCCTTCCTAGGCCGACCCCTACCCCGCCTTCCTTCCACTACAGACTGATACACTCTTGAAGTCATTCTGTTTCGCTCCATTCTCTCTACATGTCCGAACCACCTCAACAACCCTTCCTCAGCCCTCTGGACAACAGTTTTGGTAATCCCGCACCTCCTCCTAACTTCCAAACTACGAATTCTCTGCATTATATTCACACCACACATTGCCCTCAGACATGACATCTCCACTGCCTCCAGCCTTCTCCTCGCTGCAACATTCATCACCCACGCTTCACACCCATATAAGAGCGTTGGTAAAACTATACTCTCATACATTCCCCTCTTTGCCTCCAAGGACAAAGTTCTTTGTCTCCACAGACTCCTAAGTGCACCACTCACTCTTTTTCCCTCATCAATTCTATGATTCACCTCATCTTTCATAGACCCATCCGCTGACACGTCCACTCCCAAATATCTGAATACGTTCACCTCCTCCATACTCTCTCCCTCCAATCTGATATTCAATCTTTCATCACCTAATCTTTTTGTTATCCTCATAACCTTACTCTTTCCTGTATTCACCTTTACTTTTCTTCTTTTGCACACCCTACCAAATTCATCCACCAATCTCTGCAGCTTCTCTTCAGAATCTCCCAAGAGCACAGTGTCATCAGCAAAGAGCAGCTGTGACAACTCCCACTTTGTGTGTGATTCTTTATCTTTTAACTCCACGCCTCTTGTCAAGACCCTCGCATTTACTTCTCTTACAACCTCATCTATAAATATATTAAACAACCACGGTGACATCACACATCCTTGTCTAAGGCCTACTTTTACTGGGAAAAAATTTCCCTCTTTCCTACATACTCTAACTTGAGCCTCACTATCCTCGTAAAAACTCTTCACTGCTTTCAGTAACCTACCTCCTACACCATACACTTGCAACATCTGCCACATTGCCCCCCTATCCACCCTGTCATACGCCTTTTCCAAATCCATAAATGCCACAAAGACCTCTTTAGCCTTATCTAAATACTGTTCACTTATATGTTTCACTGTAAACACCTGGTCCACACACCCCCTACCTTTCCTAAAGCCTCCTTGTTCATCTGCTATCCTATTCTCCGTCTTACTCTTAATTCTTTCAATTATAACTCTACCATACACTTTACCAGGTACACTCAACAGACTTATCCCCCTATAATTTTTGCACTCTCTTTTATCCCCTTTGCCTTTATACAAAGGAACTATGCATGCTCTCTGCCAATCCCTAGGTACCTTACCCTCTTCCATACATTTATTAAATAATTGCACCAACCACTCCAAAACTATATCCCCACCTGCTTTTAACATTTCTATCTTTATCCCATCAATCCCGGCTGCCTTACCCCCTTTCATTTTACCTACTGCCTCACGAACTTCCCCCACACTCACAACTGGCTCTTCCTCACTCCTACAAGATGTTATTCCTCCTTGCCCTATACACGAAATCACAGCTTCCCTATCTTCATCAACATTTAACAATTCCTCAAAATATTCCCTCCATCTTCCCAATACCTCTAACTCTCCATTTAATAACTCTCCTCTCCTATTTTTAACTGACAAATCCATTTGTTCTCTAGGCTTTCTTAACTTGTTAATCTCACTCCAAAACTTTTTCTTATTTTCAACAAAATTTGTTGATAACATCTCACCCACTCTCTCATTTGCTCTCTTTTTACATTGCTTCACCACTCTCTTAACCTCTCTCTTTTTCTCCATATACTCTTCCCTCCTTGCATCACTTCTACTTTGTAAAAACTTCTCATATGCTAACTTTTTCTCCCTTACTACTCTCTTTACATCATCATTCCACCAATCGCTCCTCTTCCCTCCTGCACCCACTTTCCTGTAACCACAAACTTCTGCTGAACACTCTAACACTACATTTTTAAACCTACCCCATACCTCTTCGACCCCATTGCCTATGCTCTCATTAGCCCATCTATCCTCCAATAGCTGTTTATATCTTACCCTAACTGCCTCCTCTTTTAGTTTATAAACCTTCACCTCTCTCTTCCCTGATATATATAAATATTTGGTTTGTTTTCAAACATTAAAAGCAACATAAAGAAGTACCTAGGCAAATAGGAGTTAAAAATGATGGTTTCCTGAAGACCATTATCTAGGTTAACAAAACCTGAAGAAATTGTTACATTTGCATGCCATACAATTGTGTTTGTGGAAGTAAATATGCTTAAAAATGTTAGTACAAGTTAGTTGCGTGCAAGTTACATGTATTAGGAAAAAGAGGAGTAAGCAGGAGTACAAAAGAATATGAAGCGAGATGCAAAATGAGTTTGAAGAAGGGCTAAAAATAATGTACCAAAATCTCAACTGATAACAAAAGAGGAAACAGCCACACAACATAAAGGATGCAAAAGACTAGATATTGGATACTTGCTGAAATAATCAGGGAGAAGAAAGTGCCAAAGCTGTAAACTGAGTGAAAAGCAGTGACAAACTTAGTGGAAAGAATTTTTGAATGTTGTAGGATGGAATGAGAGGTAGTGTTACAACCTCTGGAAATAAAATACAGCCTCCCCTCACTTAGCAATGTACTCGTTTACCAACGCCTCGGAGTTACGACGGGGGCTCTGACCTGTATTTATATGTAAATAATGTATATTAGAGTTGATGTCCTCTATTCTTTTTATTTCAATATACAGTACACTAAACATTTAAAAAATACCAAAAATCTTACAAATGGTGCTAAGGTGACATTAAAAGAATATCAGAGATGGATGACGCAAACCCACTACCATTATAGTATGCTCTTCACTTAGCGACGAATTTGTTTAACGGCTTGGTTTTAGGATAAAAACTCCGTCGTTAAGTAAGGAGAGGTTGTATACAGTAATCTTGCAATAGATTAAAATGTTTTATATCGATATGTATATGCAAAGTGAAAAACCAATTGGACAAATGCAAAACATAAAATCTTTGTGCTAAGAGACAATAGTTTTATTTCTTTTCTGCAGTATGCAAAATGTAGCTTACATTTAATAAAATATTAAACTGTATGCCACTAGCATACAGTGCATTTCAGGCATGTGTTGTAGCCAGAGTGACGTTTGTAAGAACATCTATGAAAATTTCTCCAACATTTTTGTGTAGATATTCGACTTTTGCATTTGTAAGTTTGAGACCTTCACTTGAATTTGTACAGTCTATTATTTTTGTGTATTTTTTTTCTCTAGTTTATTTTATTTTAACTTTTTTAGGGAAGACTTAGCAACAGCTATACTGAAAGAGAAGAAAAAGCCAAACCGCCTCATCGTGGAAGATGCAGTCAATGATGACAATTCTGTTGTGGCACTCAGCCAGGCTAAGATGGATGAGCTGCAGCTCTTTCGAGGTGACACAGTGCTCATCAAGGGCAAGAAACGCAAGCAGACTGTCTGCATTGTGCTCTCTGATGACACCATGTCTGATGACAAAGTTCGCATGAATCGTGTAGTAAGTGGTTCTCTTGGTATATATTTTTTTTACAAGGTTACCATGAGGTTAATAAGCAGGGAATGGGAAAAGAGGGGCTGGGTAGAATTGAGTCGGTGGAAAAAGGTTGTGGATAATTAGGAGGGAGGGAAAGTAAATTTTGGTGGCTTAGCCACTGGGTAACAGGTTAAAATAAAATTTTAATTTCAGTAAAGATTTCAACATCATTCACTGGGTCTGTTTCTCAGTGTCCTGAAGGATTAGGGTATAGGTAAGTTGTGGTGAAATATATACATACTCGGTGTTTGAATCATGTTGTGAATTAATCCAACAGTGTACCATAGTCTTGTTTGTACGCTTGCAAGTCTGTTTTCAGTGTATGGATGATGTAATATTTGCTTGCATTTTTGTTTTGAAAAATAGGGTTTAGTCATGTTTATAGTGTTTAATTTATAAAGTTTGAAGCTTTTTACAAAGTTAGTAACTTGTGCTTTTTGGCAACTTTAAAAGTAGGCTGGACAAATGAGTGAGAAATAATCGATTTGAGATGGGCCAGTAGACCTACTGCAGTGCTCCTTTATATGTTCTTATGTGCAAATCACATGAATAAGTTTTGTTTACAGGTGAGAAACAATCTTCGCATTCGTTTGGGTGATGTGGTAGCTATCCAGCCCTGCCCAGACGTGAAGTATGGCAAGCGTATACATGTTCTACCTATTGATGACACAGTTGAAGGTCTGACTGGTAATATTTTTGAGGTGAGAGGTTAATAATTTGTTTGGTATTTATTGAAGCTTCAGAACATGCTCCTAATTATCAATGTCCTTTTTTATTTTATCACATTTCATGTTTATCTCCATGGAGAAGTGGAACAGAATTCTTCCATAAACCATTCATGTCATAAGAGATGACTAAAATGCTGGGAACAAGGAGCTAGTAGTCCCTTCTCCTTTATAAATTACTAAATTTAAAAGGAAAACCCTTTGTTTTTCTTTTCAGGTCACTTTGCCTCAGTAGGATATGGATGGTTTGTTAAAAAAAAAAAATCCATACTTGTATATCTGGTATCTTGTTTCCCATAGGCATTTTTCTCTGAGTTCTTGTAGTAAAGCCTTTAGGTTTTCCCTTTCCACTCTCTCTCTTTTTAAACTGCATTGGCTGCTCTCTCCCATGGTAGAGGTGACCCAGAGAATAAAATGCATTCATCATTTAGTAGCAGTCTTGCCAGATGTGTGCAAATATCATGATTCCAATTACTCTTCAAAATCCTCTTAGATGTAATTTATTTCTAAACAGAGAAAGAGTTTGGTAAGACATTCTGTATTTGTTCATAGTTGTGTATTGACCATAATTAAAAAAAAAAGTTAGGAGGTGCGGGATTACCAAAACTTGTCCAGAGGGCTGAGGAAGGGTTGTTGAGGTGGTTCGGACATGTAGAGAGAATGGAGCGAAACAGAATGACTTCAAGAGTGTATCAGTCTGTAGTGGAAGGAAGGCAGGGTAGGGGTCGGCCTAGGAAAGGTTGGAGGGAGGGGGTAAAGGAGGTTTTGTGTGCGAGGGGCTTGGACTTCCAGCAGGCGTGCGTGAGCGTGTTTGATAGGAGTGAATGGAGACGAATGGTTTTTAATACTTGACGTGCTGTTGGAGTGTGAGCAAGGTAACATTTGTGAAGGGGTTCAGGGAAACCGGCAGGCCGGACTTGAGTCCTGGAGATGGGAAGTACAGTGCCTGCACTCTGAAGGAGGGGTGTTAATGTTGCAGTTTAAAAACTATAGTGTAAAGCACCCTTCTGGCAAGACAGTGATGGAGTGAATGATGGTGAAAGTTTTTCTTTTTCGGGCCACCCTGCCTTGGTGGGAATCGGCCAGTGTGATAATAAAAAAATAAAAATAATAAAATAAAAAAAAAAGTGATGGATTACATAACTTGCTATATTTTAGGTATTTCTGAAACCGTACTTTCTGGAAGCATATCGACCCATCCACAAAGGTGACCTCTTTCTCGTCCGTGGAGGTATGAGAGCTGTAGAGTTCAAAGTAGTGGAGACAGACCCAGCCCCTTACTGCATCGTATCCCAGGACACTGTTATTTACTGCGAAGGGGAACCAGTGAAGCGAGAAGTAAGTACTTTGTGGTGTGGGATTTCTTACTCTACTCACTATATTAAATATTCAGGTGACTGTCGTGCATAGTTTGAATTAAGTCCTGTAATTGTGTAAATTGTGTGAGCATACTGTTAATGTGGAGCTTATTTTACTTCACAGGAAGAAGAGGAACAGTTGAATGAAGTGGGCTATGATGATATTGGTGGGTGCAGGAAGCAGTTAGCACAAATCAAAGAGATGGTAGAATTGCCATTGCGCCATCCTTCTCTATTCAAAGCCATTGGTGTCAAGCCACCAAGAGGTGAGTTTATTGCTCTCGTCTCATTAAGGCAGAGTTTTCTTTTATTTCTGCTAATGAGATGCCTGACATTCAGCTTGTTGAATGAGTTTTGAATGCAACTGAAAGGATTGTACTTTCGTGTAAAACACTAAGGCATTGTTTTATTTTAAGAAATTCAAAGTGGGGTTTAGTAATCTGGCCAAAACAGTTATAATTTATGACAGGCAATTGATTGTTGAAGAACATGTCCAGCACATTACTGAAGTAAGTAAATTTCATTTTTTTTTTTTTTTTTTTTGGTTTAAGGGTACCAGTAATCATGCCTTGTTTTCCACAGGTATATTATTGTATGGCCCACCAGGCACAGGAAAAACACTCATTGCACGAGCTGTTGCGAATGAGACTGGAGCATTCTTCTTTTTGATAAATGGCCCAGAAATTATGTCTAAATTAGCAGGTGGGTGAAAGTAACAGATTTGTTCCTTTTATTCTCTCTTCGTTGTCCACTGTTACCATAGCTAAGTCAAGACTAGTGTTCACTGTGCATGTTGAGCTGGTTTGAGGAACATCTGTGATTGCACTAGTCAGGATGCACTTCTTTTCACTCTTTTAATTTAAAAAAAAAATGGCTATACCAGCCTAAATTATTCAGATAAAAAAAAGTTGGTTTCTGTACTTGTTTAAAAAAAAAAAAAGGTAAACTTGGCAAAAAATTAGATCAGCATGTAATTTTCTATTTGATGTTATCTTATACTGTAGCACGTTATAATAAAATATCTGCAAAATACTCCACAGTTCTTGAAGTTGTAAAATTACCAGCCATGTTTGGTAAAAGGACGCGTGTGCAACCAAGGTGACGAGCCATTATGGCTTGACGAAGCTCCTGGAGAGTGAAACGTTGCCACAATAAAGTCACATTAGCTTCACATGACCTTTTACCTAACAGTTCTTGAAGATGCCCTAAGATCATCTTTTAATGAAGGTAGACAACTGGGTATTTTATGATTAGTCACTGTAAGCTTTAATATGAAACATTTAAACAGTACACTTTTTTTTTTGTTAGACTAATCTCTACACAATATAATTATCATGTGATGTCTGTAGTTGTCCTTTAAATCAGTAGGTAGATGATGTGCTTACTTTTTCCAGGTGAATCTGAAAGTAATCTTCGGAAAGCATTTGAAGAGGCAGAAAAAAATTCCCCAGCCATAATTTTCATAGACGAGATTGATGCCATTGCACCAAAACGTGAAAAGGTACTGTTAATTTGTGTACAATTTTCATATGAATATTTTTATTAACATGTGATTATCTTAAAAATGTGTTGAAAATTATAAAAAAAAGTAATGTGTATATAAATCCATTAGATTATAAAACATTTAAAGTTTTAAAATGTAAACAGGCAATAAATTTTATCTATTATCTGTGGAAGTGCAGACTTTTCGTGTATATACTGGTTATCCATGGGGGGGGGGGAGGTAAACTGATCTTAAAATGAAATGTCTATCTCAAAAATACATAGTTTAATAATACTGGTAGTATTATTCAGGAGTAGTTTAATACAGGTAGTGAATGCTTGGGTGTTGGCAAGAGGTGTGGGGTTAAAAGTTAAAGAATCTAACAGTGCGTGTTGTCACAGTTGCTCTTTGCTGATGACACTGCTTTTGGGAGATTCTGAAGAGAAGTTGCAGAGGTTGGTTGATGAGTTTGGTAGGGTATGTAAAAGAAGAAAATTAAGTCATTATAGGACAGAGTAAGGTGATGATAAAGTTAGGTGATGAAAGATTGGATATCAGATTGGAGGGAGAGTATGGAGGAGGTGAATGCATTCAGAGATTTAGGAGTTGACATGTCATCAGATGGGTCTATGTAAGATGAGGTGATTCATAGAATTGATGAGGGTAAAAAGATGAGTGGTGCATTTTGGAGTTTGTGGAGACAAAGAACTTTGTCCATGGAAGCAAAGAGGGGAATGTATGAGAGTATAGTTATACCAACGCTCTTATATGGGTGTGAAACATGGGTGGTGAATGTTGCAACAAGGAGAAGGCTGGAGGCAGTGGAGATGTCAAGTCTGAGGGCAATGTGTGGTGTGAATATAATGCAGAGAATTCGTAGTTTGGAAATTAGGAGGAGGTGCGGGATTACCAAAACTGTTATCCAGAGGGCTGAGGAGGGGTTGTTGAGGTGGTTTGGACATGTAGAGAGGATGGAACAAAATAGAATGACTTTGAGAGTGTATATATCTGTAGTAGAGGGAAGGCGGGGCAGGGGTCGGCATAGGAAAGGTTGGAGGGAGAGGTTAAAGGAGGTTTTGTGTGCATAGGGCTTGGACTTCCAGCAAGCATGTGTAAGCATGTTAGATAGGAATGAATGGAGACAAATGGTTTTTAGGACTTGACATGTTGTTGGAGTGTAACATTTATGAAGGAATTCAAGGTAACTGGCAGGCCAGACTTGAGGCCTGGAGATGGGAGGTAGTGTCTGCACTCTGAAGGATGTAATGTTGCAGTTTCATAACTGTTGTGTAAGTGCGCCTCTGGCAATACAGCGATAGTGAATGATGAAAGTTTTTCTTTTTTGGGCCACCCTGACTTGGTGGGAGGCAGCCGATGTGTTAATAAAGTGTTATTCAAGAGTAATTTAATACAGGTAGTGTTATTAAGTAGTACTTGTTCAGAGCTGCAGAGCAAAAATTTTAAGTTTTTCCTAAAGACATGTTATGCAAAGGAAGGAAGAATGCTATATATATACTATGGATTTAAGAAAGATTTTATTGTAATGTAGCAGAAAATTCTTTAATTTTTGTTAAGCTTCCCCAGAAACCAGGTTTTTGTTCCAGTAATAAAGCAGTTTATAGTCCTTGGCAGGAATTAATTGGGAGATGCTTTTCAGACACATGGAGAAGTTGAACGACGAATAGTATCACAGCTATTGACACTGATGGATGGCTTGAAGCAGCGCTCTCATGTTATTGTTATGGCTGCCACAAACAGGCCTAACTCTATTGATCCTGCTCTTAGGCGATTTGGTCGTTTTGACCGAGAAGTTGACATCAGTATTCCAGACACCACAGGTACGATGGTGATCTTGACTGTACTTTTTTTTACATAGTGATGAGGTTATTTTTTATGTCATCTTTTTACTTGGCTCTGTATTTAAATTGCATTAATTGCTTGGTCTGTTTTAACAGTTTGGTTCAAAATTATAATGTCACTGTCTGTCCTGTGAATACTAATGGGATCATTACTGTCTTTCAGTTTTTTAATTTGTACATGTTTTTCTAGTCTAACAGACATGCTTCAATGAACTTTCAATGAAACAGTCTGAGTTGTAATTTTCAGAGATTTAAGAGTAAAACTCTTGTTAGGGTTGGCATGAAAGGTTGCTAAAGCTTGTGCTTCTGTAATTAACTGAATGAAATGCATCACCCCCAATGTGTATGGAGAAATTAACATAATAAGTGGGAAATAAGCTGGGATGGATGGGATTCAGAATAAAATGCTGAGTGCTGATGTGCAAATTTGTTCAGTGTTTGAAAGAAATGCACCCACTTACATTTGAGATTTAATTCCTAATCCCACTAATCCCTGCTGATTTCTCACTGTTCATGTTACCTTCACCATACATATTTACCCAATGTATTTCATTGTACCGGTTAGCTGGATATGTGGAGTTGGGAGGAGCATCTGAACTGTAGTATGAGCTCACCTCTGGCAAGACAGTAATGGAGTGAATGATAGTGAAAGTTTCTTTTTCAGGTTGCCCTACCTTGGTGGGAGATGGCCAGTGTGTTAAGAAAAAAAATTCATTGCATTGTGTACAGGGATTTGGTTGAGTTTTTTTTTTTGTGCAAAAGGAGAAGACAAGTGTAAGAAATACTGTATATATGACTAACACTTACATGAGGGATGCCTTGATGCCAGTGAAGGGCTCTTGATCCAAGACACTGAAGCAACAGGCCTTTTCTTGGATCAAACCAGAATGCATCCCATTTCCAAATTGGTATAATTTTCATGACTATGAAGAATACTGGGCATATAGGGTAGTGTGATAAATCATTTGATTTTTTTTTTCAATCGAGTAAATTTGGGAATTCGTGTTTGTGTGTGTGCGCAAGTAATCATTTAAGTGAGCAGTACTTTGGTAAGGGAAAGAAGCTGTTGCATTTGTAGATTTAGAAAAAGCATAAGACAGGATTGAGCAGGGAGGAATGTGTTGCAGATGTTAACATTAGGTTGAAAGCAGCAGTTTGAGGCATTCACTTAAGAACAAGCATGTCACTGTGAGTGTTCACAAGTGAATGCTAAAGTGAGGTGTAGTCCTAAAGATAAATCAGGCTTAGAGGATTACTTAGCATAAATGTTGACTGCTGATTATATTGCTATCAAGAAATGTTAGGGGAAGTTACTGAAGCCAGTCGTTTTGTGAAAGTTACGAGTGTGTAACAGTTACTCTCATTTTTGTGTTGGTGTCCTCAGGTCGCCTGGAAGTCCTGCGAATCCACACTAAGAACATGAAATTGTCCGATGATGTTGACCTAGAACAGATTGCTGCAGAGACTCATGGCCATGTTGGTGCAGATTTGGCTGCTCTGTGCTCAGAAGCTGCCCTTCAACAAATCAGAGAAAAAATGGATCTTATTGATCTTGATGATGACCAGATTGATGCTGAGGTTTGGGCTTTTAAGCAACACTTTTTAGCAGGTTTCATTATTAATAAATTAACTAGTGGTGTATATATAGTATAATTTAACCCTTTGAGGGTTTTGGTCGTACTAGTACGTCTTACGCGTAGGGGTTTTTGACGTACTAGTACTCATAAATTCTAGCGGCCTCAAATCTAGTGGGAGAAAGCTGGTAGGCCTTCATATGAAAGAATGGGTCTATGTGGTCAGTGTGCACAGTCTAAAAAAAATCCTGCAGCACACAGTGCATAATGAGAAAAAAAAACTTTGACCATTTTTTTTTAATAAATCAGCGACTTTGCAGTGTATTTTCGTATGGTATTTATTGTTGTATTCTAGTTTTCTTGGTCTCATTTTATAGAATGGAAGACATATTACAGAAATTGAGATGATTTTGACTGGTTTTACAATGAAAAGTGCCTTGAAATTGAGCTCAAAGTAGCAGAAATGTTCGATTTTTACCAAACTTCAAAAGTAAACAAATCGTGCCAAGCGTGCAATACACGTCAACTGGTGAGTCTAATATTCTTTCACAAGTGCACCAATAATATTTATACCATTTTTTACACTAATGCAGTAGTCTGCATAACAGTAAATCTTATATTTTTTGTGAAAATAAAAATTCAGAGTGGAAAGCAAAAGAATATAAGAGGGGCCTTGAGACGTGACTAATGACTAGAGGAAATGTCATTTTAGTGCCAGGAATGTCTTTCTTGTTTATTCTGGACCCTATTCGGAAATTGGCATCTTTTGAAATTTGTGTGAAATTGGCAAAATTGCTAAATTCTGACCACTGTACTGGATAGTTGAATTTCATAAATAGGTGGTTTCTTGCACCCATTCGATAGAAAAAATGGAGTTCTAGCGAAATATTCATGTTTTTTGTCGACTAGTACAGTGAAATTGGCCGAAAATGGGGCTCAAAGTGGGCAAAATCGCCGATGCATAAACATCGCCGAGACCGCTAACTTTGAGAGAGCATAATTCCGTAAGTTTTCTATCAAATTTCAAACTTTTGGTGTCTTTATGATCGGGAAAAGATTCTCTATCTTTTCATAAGAGAAAATAATTTTTTTTTTTTAAATTTGGCCGACCCTGAGAACGAGTTTCGGAGAGGGCCTGTCGACCCTCAAAGGGTTAATAAGCTCAGTACAACTGACAGAAAATTAGACAAAAAATTATTTTAATGAAAATGATGATGGTGTAGTTACAGCAATGTTATTAATACTGTATAAGCAAATGTTTCTATGTTATACAATTTAAATTTTTTTTCTATATATTTAATACATAGGTTTGAACAGGTTGACTCTTTCAGGTACTTAATTCACTAGCAGTAACTATGGAGAACTTCAGGTTTGCCATGGGTAAGAGCACACCATCAGCCCTCCGTGAAACAGTAGTGGAGGTGCCCAACATTACCTGGCATGATATTGGTGGCTTAGAAAATGTCAAGAGAGAGTTACAGGTAACTTTTCTTTCATTTTTATATCTCCAGAATATAGCAGGAATTTTTTCTCCAAAGTTCCTCTAAACCTTAAATACACGAGTTTGATCATGTCTTGGACTGTAGTGAAAGATAATGTACATTACGGTATTTAGTTATAAGCTGAGTTTTATGCTTTCAAAATGGCTTTTTCCATGTTATGTCCTCATCCTGATTATTATCTTCAACATAGGAGCTTGTCCAGTATCCTGTGGAGCACCCAGACAAATTCCTGAAGTTTGGCATGACTCCCAGCAAGGGGGTACTATTCTATGGCCCTCCTGGTTGTGGTAAGTGGTTAATTTAATTGCATGATAACTTCCCAAAATTCAATTAGGCATTTAACTTTGTTTGGCTTTTTGAGCTGAATGTGCATTTTTAAGATAATATAAATTTTAAAAAAATATTACAAAGGTCTTCCAAGGTAGTTTTACAGGGTGGTAATTAGATGAATTAATACACACATTTATCCCTGAAGTCCCATAAAGCTGTTGTGATAGAAGGTTGCATGGAGAAAGACCTTTCCGGCAAAGGATAATATTCTTTTGACCAAAAAAGAAAAAAAAAATGCATTATCTTGTATTTTATGGAAAAAAAAAATGTTGATAAAATTTTTGCAAATAACTCTAGTACATATGAAGAGGTAGAAACCGGGTGGGGGAGAACATACAACCCACACATTGGGGGGTCATGTTTTGCCACTGTATCTTGCACATTATTTAGTGTTTTAATGTTTAACTTTTTAAATGAACCAGATTATGGAGGTTCGACTGTTGCTGCTTCATGTATATAATTCTCAGTGCCATCTTATGTAGGCAGGTAGTGTATGCACATTCTGTAATCTTGTCACTATCAGTTGAAATTGTAGTCATGAAAAGTAATAGTTTTAAGAGGAAATTAGTAGGCTTCCACAATTGCTACAGATTGTTACAGCTGTCAGGGACCACTGTAACCAGGATTGTAGGGACATAAGAACTACATTGCTAGGATTTTTTAAAACCTTGAACTTTGGCAACAGTGGACCTCTTAGTGCTGATGGGATACAGTGAAGTGTGTTTAACACGGTTATTCCCTCCTGTTAAATTTCACAATAGTGGCATTTAATTTTGCAACTTAAGCTTTGCTCTTCTGTGAGTGCTCTCTCATTCCAATCTTAAATTTATTCTTATTGCTGGCATCATATTTATGCCAAAACATTAAATTGTTAGTAAAATTCATGAACTGGTGTCTTACATCAAGGTGGGGAACATTTACTTTATCTTAAGAGTATCCACATCTAAATTAACCGGTCCCTTTAATTATATTTTGGTTGAATCTACTGGGATATTCCTAACAATTTTGAATAATGTGATGTATTGTTGATGGCTTTACATGCTAGCACTAGGTTCATCATTCAGTAGTCTTAACCCTTTGACTGTTTCAGTCTTACGAGCCACTGTGTTTGATGTATATATACTCATAAATTCTAGCGGTTTCAAATCAAGCAGGAGAAAGCTGGTAGGCCCACATGTGAGAGAATGGGTCTGTGTGGTCAGTGTGCACCATATAAAAAAAATCCTGCAGCACGCAGTGCATAATGAGAAAAAAAAAACTCCGACCGTTTTTTTTTTAATTGCCGATTTTATGGTCTATTTTCGTATAGTATTTATGGTTGTATTCTCGTTTTCTTGGTCTCGTTTGATAGACTGGAAAACATATTATAGAAATAGAGGTGATTTTGGTTGGTTTTACTATAAAATGAACCTGGAAATGGAGCTTAAAGTAGGGGAAATGTTTGATTTTTGCCAATGTTCAGAAGTAAACAAATGATGTCATTGTCCAATAAATGTCCAAGTAGCCATTCTAATATACAGTCATGAATGGGTTGACATTATTTGTACAATTATTACAGTATTACAGTAGTCTGCATGACAGTAAATCTATTTTTTGTTTGAATAAAAATTCAAAATAGAAAGCAAGAGTAATATCAGAGGGGCCTGGAGACGTGACTGATGAACAAAGAAAATGTTATTTTAGAGCCAGGAATGTCTTCATTGTTCATTCTGGACCTTATTTTGAAATTGTCATATTTTTTATTATTTATTTATTAACACGCTGGCCGGTTCCCACCAAGGCAGGGTGGCCCGAAAAAGAAAAACTTTCACCATCATTCACTCCATCACTGTCTTGCCAGAAGGGTGCTTTACACTACAGTTTTTAAACTGCAACATTAGCACCCCTCCTTCAGAGTGCAGGCATTGTACTTCCCATCTCCAGGACTCAAGTCCGACCTGCCGGTTTCCCTGAATCCCTTCATAAATGTTACTTTGCTCACACTCCAACAGCACGTCAAGTATTAAAAACCATTTGTCTCCATTCACTTCTATCAAACACGCTCGCGCATGCCTGCTGGAAGTCCAAGCCCCTCACACACAAAACCTCCTTTATCCCCTCCCTCCAACCTTTCCTAGGCTGACCCCTACCCCGTCTCCCTTCCACTACAGACTGATACACTCTTGAAGTCATTCTGTTTCGCTCCATTCTCTCTCGTGAAATTGGCCAAATTGCAAATTTCTGACCACGTTATTGGGTAGTTGAAATCGGTAAATGGGCAGTTTCTTGTCCTCAAGCGATAGAAAAAATTGAGTTCTAAAGAAATAGCTATGAGTTTGGTCAACTGGAACAATGGAATTAGCCGAAAATAGGGCTCAAATTGGGCGAAATTGCCGATTTGTAAATATCGCCGAGGTCGCAAACTTCGTGAGAACGTAATTCTGTCAGTTTTCCATTGAATTTCGTTCTTTTGGTGTCATTACAACCGGGAAAAGATTCTCCATTTCATAAGTTGTTTTTTTTTTTTTTTTTTTTATACACCAGGAGATACCTCAGGATTGGGGGTTGCAGCAGTCAAGGGGTTAAACCTTACTGTTGTGTACTTTTTGTCAGTCATTATTGCAATAATCCATTGATAGCTTTTCACATCCTTTACTTTTGTCTGTTATATCGTGTATTGAAAGATACGAGAGGAGCATAGAGTGGTCTACTGCTTAGACAATTTCTTAATCTGTAGCGTGTTAATTGTGTAAGAATTTAGTTTTTCACTTGTTTACTCTTACTTAGGTAAAACCCTGTTAGCAAAGGCTATTGCTAATGAGTGTCAAGCTAACTTCATCTCCATCAAGGGTCCAGAGCTGCTTACCATGTGGTTTGGTGAATCAGAAGCTAATGTGAGAGATGTCTTTGATAAGGTGAGTCTACATTGTCATTGCTATATTTTGAGTGGTCACTTTTTGTGTCCAACATTTTCTTAATCATATGTAATGGAGAAAGGAGGCCACAGCATGTAATAAACTTAACATTTAAAAGTCCAAGGTTAGCTTGCCTAGTCTGGTGGTTAAAATTTGATGTAATACTAGTGCATGTGAAGTTTTACAAAGCTGATCTCCCAATGAATGTCCTTGACCCTTCAATTCTCTTAACATTTGCCCATTCTTGTTTTTCACCTGCCCCAAAAAAACAGAAATCAGGGTAATGCTAATAGATGTTATGTATCGATCTAAGTGGAAGGTTGCAGGGGGTAGGGGTCATCCTAGAATGGTTACAGTGTGGGTTTAAAAGAGGATTTGAGTTTTAGGGGATTGAGCATCCAGCTTGTGTAAGCATGTTAAGATAGGAGGTAATGTAGATGCTTTTGGAGTGCAAGCATGGTGACATTTGTTAAGGGATTTAGGGGAAACAGCTGGACATAGCCCTGCAGGTGGAAAAGGCAGTGTCTACATTCTGAAGGAGGGGTGAGGATGTTGCAGTCAGAAGGTAATCTGAAATTACAATGTCTGCACTTTCAGGCAAGACAGTGATTGAATGCATGATGGTGAATATACTTCATTTTTTTGGATCATCTAGTTTTGATGTTTTGGAGTAGACATTTCAGTAGATTGGTCTAGAAAAAACAAAGTGAGCCATAGAAATGATAAGAGGGGGGGGAAGGATAGGCAGTGTTGTGAGGCATCTGTGGACAAAAATTTTCTATGAAGGAAAAAAAAAAAAAAGTACCTGAGTATAGTGGTGCTGATTCTTTTATATGGGTGTTTGGCATGGGAAGGAGCTGGCAAGAGACAGTGGAGATGTTATGTTGATCAGTGTGTGGTGTGAATATTATGTACAGAATTTGGAGCATAACAATTACAGTGTGGGGTTACACAGGGTATAATTCAGAGGGCTGAGAAGGGATTGAGGTGATTTTGGTTTTTACAGAGGATGGAGAGGGAGAGTTTAACTTGTAGGGTGTATAAATCTGGGTTGGAAGGTAGGAGTGGTAGGGGTTGTCTCAGGAGCAATTGGAAGGAGGGGGGTAAAGGAGGCTTAGTGTGTTGGGGGTTAGTGCATCCAGCAAGCTTTTTGGGGATTTTCTTTCTTTGTGGGTCTCCCTTCCTCGGTGGGAGATGGCCTACTTGTTAAAAAAAAATAAAATCGTCATTTCAGTTGGCTTAATTGGTTATTGAATTTATAAACAAAAGTAACAAAGTAAATGTATACAGTACTTATGTGTACTGGCCTAAATATATATATATGTCGTGCCGAATAGGCAGAACTTGCAATCTTGGCTTAAATAGCAACGCTCATCTTGCCATATAGGACAAGCGAAAATTTGTGTATGCAATAATTTCGCCAAAGTCATTCTGAACCTAACTAAAAAAATATATTTCACTGTGTTTGTTTAGTATTAAATTATTGTAAACAAATCTAAAATATATATAGTTGGGTTAGGCTAAAATAAATTGTTCTTGTTATAATAAGGTTAGGTAAGTTTTCTAAGATTCTTTTGGTGCAAAATTAAAAATTTTTGCATTAACATTAATGAAAAAATATATCTTTAAACTTATAAGAGAAAATTTTAGAAAGGGCTTAATTTTAAATGAGTTCTTGCTAATTGACCAGTTTTACATATTCGGCACGACATTATATATATATAATTTTTTTTTGTTCTTTTCAACAAGTTGGCCGTCTCCCACCGAGGCAGGGTGACCCAAAAAGCAAGAAAATCCCCAAAAAGAAAATACTTTCATCATCATCATTCAACACTTTCACCTCACTCACACATAATCACTGATTTTGCAGAGGTGCTCAGGACACAACAGTTTAGAAGCATATACATATGAAGATACCCAACATATCCCTCCAAACTGCTAATATCCCGAACCCCTCCATTAGAGTGCAGGCATTGTACTTCCCATTTCCAGGATACAAGTCCGGCTATATAAAAATAACCAGTTTCTCTGATTTTTTTTTTTTTTCTCTCTCAACAAGTCGGCCGTCTCCCACCGAGGCAGGGTGACCCAAAAAAGAAAGAAAATCCCCAAAAAGAAAATACTTTCATCATCATTCAACACTCACCACACTCACACATTATCACTGCTTTTCCAGAGGTGCTCAGAATACAACAGTTCAGAAGCATATACGTATAAAGATACACAACATATCCCTCCAAACTGCCAATATCCCAAACCCCTCCTTTAAAGTGCAGGCATTGTACTTCCCATTTCCAGGACTCAAGTCCGACTATATGAAAATAACCGGTTTCCCTGAATCCCTTCACTAAATATTACCCTGCTCACACTCCAACAGATCGTCAGGTCCCAAGTATCATTCGCCTCCATTCACTCCTATCTAATACGCTCATGCACGCTTGCTGGAAGTCCAAGCCCCTAGCCCTCAAAACCTCCTTTACCCCCTCTTTCCAACCCTTTCGAGGACGACCCCTACCCCTCCTTCCTTCCCCTATAGATTTATATGCTTTCCATGTCATTCTACTTTGATACATTCTCTCTAAATGACCAAACCACCTCAACAAACCCTCTTCAGCCCTCTGACTAACACTTTTATTAACTCCACACCTTCTCCTAATTTCCACACTTAGAATTTTCTGCATAATATTTACACCACACATTGCCCTTAGACAGGACATCTCCACTGCCTCCAACCGCCTCCTCGCTGCAGCATTTACAACCCAAGCTTCACACCCATATAAGAGTGTTGGTACTACTATACTTTCATACATTGCCTTCTTTGCCTCCATAGATAACAATTTTTGCCTCCACATATACCTCAATGCACCACTCGCCTTTTTTCCTTGATCAATTCTATGATTAACCTCATCCTTCATAAATCCATCCTCTGACACGTCAACTCCCAAATATCCGGAAACATTCACTTCTTCCATACTTCTCCTCCCCAATTTGATATCCAATTTCTCTTTAAATCATTTGATACTCTCATCACCTTACTCTTTTCTATGTTCACTTTCAACTTTCTATCTTTAGTCACACTCCCAAATTCGTCCACTAATCCTCGTTTATCGTCGTTAATGCGTTCCTGGAAGCGCGACGATTATCGAAATAGACAATTTTCAAATAAATTTTTCCCCTAAGAAATAATGTAAATACAATTAATCCGTTTCTGACACCCAGAAGTATTAAAACAAAACATTTTTTACATGAAATATAGATGTAGTACATAAACAATACAATGGGACATGATGAATGAAACATTAACAGTATAACACTTACCTTTTTTGGCAATTCTTCTTAGTGTATGGAAGACTGGAGGAGACGAGAGATTGGATTAGTTACTGTTTGGAAGAGGAATCCCCTTCCATCAGCACCTCAGGTACCAAGTCCTTTTCTGGGGTTACATACATCTTCTCTCTGTATCTTAATGCCACTAGGACCAGCTTGAGTCACGAGTCCTGTCTCGCAAAAAAAAAAGTGTTCAGAGAGCTCTGTTTTTGGCGTCTCTTTAAAACTTCCCTAAAATGGGCCAAGACTCTGTCACTGTACAAGTTGCCGATATGGCTTGCAACATCCTTCTCCGGGTGATGTTTCTCCATAAATCTTTTCATCCTACCCCACATTTCAAAAATCTCCTTAATTTCTGAAGAAGGCACCTTCTTCCATCTCTCTTCCTCCTCTGCAGTAAGATTCTGAGCTGCAGTCTGTTGCTGTTCCTGTTGAAGCTCTTGCAGCCCCTCAGTGGTTAGCTCTTCTTTGTGGTCCTCCACCAACTCTTCCACATCCTCCAAACTCGCGTCCAACCCCATGAAACTCCCCAATGCCACAGTAGATTTCACAACTGACATAGACTCATCAGGGTCAGCCACAAACCCTTCAAAATCCCTCTTGTGGACACAATCTGGCCACAATTTTCTCCAAGCAACAACAGCTTCCTTTTTCTTTGCCACAATGGAAGATATGGTTGTATGGGGTTTGTTACACATCCTGGCCAGTTCGGCCACACGTACGCCGCTTTCGTATTGTTCAATGATGTTTTTCTTAAATTCAATTGTATTTCTCACCTTCTTTACCAAAGGCTTGGCACTAGGAGCTTTCTTTGGAGCCATGGTAGCTTACTTAGCACTTGCAAGCACTAAAATGAATGGAACATGTATTATGAAATATTTCGTATGAACAAGTGAGGGGACCGTCGCTCACTGGTAAACAATGGCACACTGGCTGGGAAAGGTGGCCAAGGCGGCTCAGAGCCGTGAGTATGTGTACAGGACGAACAATGATTAGCGAGTTGACTGACCATTTGCGAGCCAATGTTTGGATTAAAATAATGCGACGATTTCCGAAAAGGACGACTATCAAGCCCGATGATTATTGAGAGACCACTGTAATTGCTCAGAACAAGTTGACCACAATATGTACATTTACAGGCTCGTGCAGCAGCTCCGTGTGTCTTGTTCTTTGACGAGTTGGACAGCATTGCCAAGGCTCGAGGTGGCTCTGCAGGTGATGCAGGTGGTGCTGCTGATCGAGTCATAAATCAGGTGAGATTATAATTAAATTTTGTTTTAAAAAGTACATTTTTCAAATAAATCTTAGTATATGCACAGTTCCTTTGTATAAGGTGATGTGGGGGACAAAAGTGTACAAATTTTAGGGAAATAAGCCTGTTGAGTGTACTGGGTAAGTATGTGGTAGAATAATTATTGAGAGTTAAGGGTAAGACCGATTAGTATTTCAGTAGATCAGGGAGGATTTAGGAATGGTAGGGATGTGTAGACCAAATGTTTGCATTGAAGAATATAAGTGAACAATACTTAAGAGTAATGCACTATTGCATTTTTGCTTTTAGAAAAGTTCTTAGGGTGGATAGGGAAGCAATGTGGCAGATGTTGCAGTGTGTAGAATAAGTGGTAGGTTACTGAAAGCAGTAATTATTTTTTTGCAGAGATAACTTAGTGAAATCCTTTAATAGAGTAGATACTCAAATTTCCCTTGAATTAACATTTTCACAGGTAACAAGTACAGTATTTTATAAATAATGAGAGGGGACTCTTAAACGAGATTGCTGAATATTAAAAAACATAGTTGTTAGCTAATATCACTAATTGATTTAGCAGTGGAGAGTACAAGCTAGTAAAGGTAATGTGTACTGACCCTTATTTGAAGGTGAATGCTTGTTAGGGGTATTTGTTTTAACATTCTGCATGACTTTTTGAGTTCATACTGTATTAAGCTTTCCTCTGAGAGTAATTTTCATAAATGTTTTAATATTATAATCTGAATGACATAAAACATTTGTTTTGGTAGGTACTAACAGAAATGGATGGTATGGGAGCCAAAAAGAATGTCTTCATCATTGGTGCAACAAACCGACCTGATATTATTGATCCAGCCATTTTACGACCTGGGCGTCTGGACCAGTTGATCTACATACCTCTCCCCGATGAAAAGTCTAGAGTGCAGATCCTGAAGGCGTGCTTGAGGAAATCCCCAGTGTCAAAGGTAGAATGCTTGTTTCTTTTCCTTATTTGAATACTGGATTTTTTCTCTCTCTCCTTCAACAAGTCGGCAGTCTCCCACCGAGGCAGGGTGACCCAAAAAGAAAGAAAAAAAATCCCCAAAAAGACAATACTTTCATCATTCAACACTTTCACCTCACTCACACATAATCACTGTCTTTGCAGAGGTACCCAGATACAACAGTTTAGAAGCATATATAACCCCTCTAAACTGCCAATATCCCAAACCCCTCCTTTAAAGTGCAGGCATTATACACAAATAACCCGCACATAAAAGACAGAAGCTTACGACGACGTTTCGGTCCGACTTGGACCATTGACAGTCACACTAACAGAGGTGGAGCAGGACGGCTATATATAGGCAGGAAGAGGTGGAGGTAGTAGTAGTACTACCACTACTACTACCTCCACCTCTTCCTGCCTATATATAGCCGTCCTGCTCCACCTCTGTTAGTGTGACTTTGTCAATGGTCCAAGTCGGACCGAAACGTCGTCGTAAGCTTCTGTCTTTTGTGTGCGGGTTATTTGTGTATCGTTCCAGTCACGGTATTGTGCCTTTTTGTTATTTAAGTGCAGGCATTGTACTTCCCATATCCAGGACTCCAGTCTGGTTATATAAAAATAACTGGTTTTCCTGAATCCCTTCACTAAATATTACCCTGCTCACACTCCAACAGCTCGTCAGGTCCCAAAAACCATTCGTCTCCATTCACTCCTATCTAACACGCTCACACGTGCTTGCTAGAAGTCCAAGCCCCTCGCCCACAAAACCTCCTTTACCCCCTCTCTCCAACCTTTTTGAGGATGACCCCTACCCTGCCTTCCTTCCCCTACAGATTTATACACTCTACAAGTCATTCTACTTGAATCCATTCTCTCTAAATGACCAAATCACCTGAACAACCCCTCTTCATCCCTCTTAATAGTAACTCCTCATGACCACCTAATTTCCACACACTGAATTCTCTGCATAATATTTACACCACACATTGCCCTTAGACAGGACACCTCCACTGGCTCTAGCTGCCTCCTCGCTGCAGCATTTGCAACCCAAGTTTCACACCCATATAAGAGCGTTGGCACCACTATACTTTTGTACATTACCTTCTTTGTCTCCGTGGATTATGTTTTTTTGTCTCCATAGATACCTCCTGCCTCGGTGGGAGACGGCCGACTTGTTTAAAAAAAAAAAAAGATACCTCAATGCACCACTTGCCTTTTTTCCTTCACCACTTCTCTGGTTAACCTCAGCCTTCATAAACCCATCCGCTGACAAGTCAACTCCCAAATATATGAAAACATTCACTTCTGCCATACTCCTCTCCAATATGATATCCAGTTTTTCTTTATCTAAATCATTTGATACCCTCATCACTTGACACTTATCTATGTTCACTTTCAACTTGCTACCTTTACACACCCTCCCAAACTCGTCTACTAACCTTTGCAACTTCTCTCTAGAATCTCCCATAAGCACAGTATCATCAGCAAAAAGTAACTGCGTCAACTCCCATTTTGTATTTGATTCCCCATAATTTAATCCCACCCCTCTCCACAACACCCTAGCATTTACTTCTTTTACAACCCCATCTATAAATATATTAAACAACCATAGTGACATTACACATCCCTAAGACCTACTTTTACCGGGAAGTAATCTCCCTCTCTCCTACACACCCTAACCTGAGCCTCACTATCCTTATAAAAACTCTTTACAGCATTTGCCACATTGCTCCCCTATCCACTCGATCATATGCCTTTTCTAAATCCATAAATGCTATGAAAACTTCCCTGCCTTTATCTAAATACTGTTCATATACATGCTTCAATGTAAACACTTGATCTGCACATCCCCTACCCACTCTAAAACCTCCTTGCTTATCCACAATCCTACATTCTGTCTTACCTCATTCTTTCAACAATAACCCTACCGTACACTTTTACTGGTATACTCAGTAAACTCATTCCTCTGTAATTTTTAGTCTCTTTCCTCCCCCTTCCCTTTATATAAAGGAACTATACATGCTCTCTGTCAATCCCTATGTACCTTTCCCTCTTTCATACATATAATAAACAAAAATACCAACCACTCCAACACTATACTCCCCTTGCTTTTAACATTTTTGTCATTATCCCGTCAGTTCCAGCTGCTTTACCCCCTTTCGTTTTATGTAATGCCTCGTGCATCTTTCCCACACTCACATCCTGCTCTTCTTCACTCCTAAAGGATGTTACACCTTCCTGGCCAGTGCATGAAATTACCACCTCTTTCTTCATTGACATTTAAAAGTTCCTAGGCTTTCTTAACTTATTTCTCACTCCAAAATTTTTTCTTATTTTCATCAAAATTTCTTGACAGTGCCTCTCCCACTTTGTCATCTGCTCTCCTTTTGCACTCACCACTCTCTTCACCTTTCTTTTACTCTCCATATACTCTGCTCTCCTTATGACACTTCTGCTTTGTAAAAACCTCTCATAAGCTACCTTTTTCTCTTTTATCACACCCTTTACTTCATTCCACCAATCACTCCTTTCCTCCTGCACCCACCCTCCTATAGCCACAAACTTCTGCCCCACATTCTAATACTGCATTTTTAAAACTATTCCAGCCCTCTTCAATCCCTCCACTACTCATACTTTCACTATCCAACCTTTCTTCCAATAGTTGTTCATATCTCACCCTAACTTCCTCCTCCCTTAGTTTATGCTGGATATACGTACAATATTGTTCAATACAATTAATGCATCCTTGAGGTTTCTTCATTCCTTATGAAAATATTTATTTCAGAGAGTTGATCTGGAATATCTTGCCAAAGTGTCCCATGGATTCTCTGGTGCTGATTTAACAGAAATTTGCCAGAGGGCTTGCAAACTGGCAATTCGGCAGGCTATTGAAGCAGACATAAAGCGGGAGAGAGAGAGAGCTGCTGGAGACAATATGGATGTTAGTATTGAAAGTTTTTTCAGAAATAAATTATATGTTAAATACAGGGTGACATTTGACAAAATGTATAAGCTACATTTTTAAATCTGGCTTTGTTTTTTAAGTGCCTTTGGCTTTATCCTAAAAATTTTAGTGTTACTAATCTGTTCTAAATAATTTTTAATAGATGGAGGAAGAGGATCCTGTACCAGAGATAACTCGGGATCACTTTGAGGAAGCTATGAAGTATGCCCGCCGTTCAGTCTCTGACAACGACATTCGCAAATATGAGATGTTCTCCCAGACGCTGCAGCAGAGTCGAGGGTTTGGCTCTAATTTCAGATTTCCAGACCAGCAAGGCCAGGGAGGCAGCAGCCATGGTGGAAACTTTGGTGCAGATGGAGAGGATGATGATTTGTACTCGTAAAGCTTCTCCTATTCCCATTGGGAAGAAACAGCTTCAGGAAGAATCAATCTACTTGCAGGAGGAATTAGTGTACCATTCATGAGTGGTTTGTGTGAAGTTAATAAAATGTATATTGAAGATGCATTCATGAGTGGGTGTCTTTGGAAATATTGACTAAGTTAATGGTCAGAGACTTAAATATTATAATGTGCATCATGCAATGAAGCCTTGAAAAATTGCCCCTGTACATCCCAGTTGTTTTCTAAAGTATGGGTGCAGTGAATTGAGGGTCCAGGGCATTAAGCCCCTTCAGGAATGTGATTAAGAGCCAAGTTTAACAGCAGATGCTACAATGGACTAAAAATATAAGACTAGAAATAATATATGCAGGCGGTGAGCATTCCGTATTTGGGAAGAAAGGGCTGAGGGCATTGAGGCTATTTGGCGAGATAATTCTTCAGTTTCATGCTTTGAAATTTTACTGTAACAAATATGTTATTTGTTGCATTTTAAACTTATTTTTCCCAAAGGAACTTTTAAAAATGCCCCCCCCTCCCCCCTTTTTTTTTTTTATATATAGATATTCAGTAGCAACTGTTATACTATGTTCCTGTTGCACTCCTAGGCAAGTCAGTATGAACATTTCTGTGAGGTAGGCTGATTGCACCTTTGATACAAACTAGTGCTCCACTGATAAGTATTTTTTTGTGTACTGGATTAGTGGTAAGGAGCAGTGCATGTGGTGATTGTATTATATTCCCATGTGTAAATGTTAATACATAAACTTAACCTTTTCTTACACAGTAAAATAGAGAAGTCTTTAAAGTTTTTTATTAATCATTTATAAAAAAATTGAATAAAGTCAGTGGGAGATAAATAATTTATATTTAACATTCTTTTCCTTTTGTATTATGCTGGTGACCCTGATGTCTTAATGCTTAGTTTTGATTATAACAAAATGTGTAATGTCACCATGGTTGTTTAACATCTTTATAGATGTGGTTGTAAAAGAAGTAAATGCGATGGTGTTGGGGAGAGGGGTGGGATTAAATTATGGGGAATCAAAATACAAAATGAGAGTTAACAGTTACTTTTTGCTGATGATACTGTGCTTTTGGAGAGACTAAAGAAAAGTTGCAAAGGTTAGTGGACAAGTTTGGGAGGGTGTGTAAAGGTAGAAAGTTGAAGTGAACGTAGGAGTAAGGTGATGAGGGTATCAAACAATTTAGATAGATTCGATATGTTGGAGGGAGGGGGTAAAGGAGGTTTTGTGGGCAAGGGGCTTGGACTTCCTGCAAGCATACACGAGCGTGTTAGTAAATGGAGACTAATAGTTTTTGGGACATAAGCCGTTGGAGTGAGCAAGGTAATATTTTGTGAAGGGATTCAGGGAAACTGGTTAGCCGAACTTGAGTCCTGGAAATGGGAAGTACAGTGCCTGCACTTTAAAGGAGGGGTTTGGGATATTGGCAGTTTGGAGGGACTTCTAAACTGCCGTATCTGAGTGCCTCTGCAAAGACAGTGATTATGTATGAGTGATGATGAAAATGTTGAATGATGAAAGTATTTTCTTTTTTTCTTTTTTTTCTTTTCAAGTCACCTTGCCTTGGTAGGAAATGGCTGATGTGTTAAAAAAAAAAATTAAAAGGGGGAGCTTTCCTTGCCAGCCCTTTCTAAAGTTTCATAATGCTACTATCTCCTTGATGCTGAATGGACCCACCTTTGACTCGCTCTCTTGTTGACTTTTTGACAGCCACTGATTTACTGCACACAAACTTTGATGATACTTCCTCTAGTACTCCTCACCCCTCAAGGAAGGTTCCTTGATGTTGGTGAGGGGCTCTTGATTTAGGGAATTGGATCTGTGCTCCAGTTCCCCGAATTAAGCCTGAATGCCTTCCACATATCCCCCCCCCCCAGGCGCTGTATAATCCTCCGGGTTTAGCGCTTCCCCCTTGATTATAATAATAATAATAATAGTACTCCTCAGCCCTTGCTAACTCCCTCTGTTGTCCACTCCACCCTTGCTCCTGTGTAATCCTGCATTATCCTGTGCCCTTGTTGGTTTAGCACTTCTTTATTATCCTTGATGCTGAAGGGCTCATGATGCAAGGAATTAAAGTTTCCCCTTCTCTTCATGGATCACATGACTACCCCACAAACCTCATTCCCTGGGTGCTGCATCACCCTAAGAGTAGCATTTTTTCATCAAAGTACCCCTCAAGGGAGGTTCCTTGATGCTGGCGAGGCCCTCTTGATCGAAGGAATTGGACCTAGCCTCTGATTGCATGATTAGAATTAATGCCTTCCATTCCTCCAGGCATTGTATGACCCCTATGGGTTTGGTGGTCTTCATGAATGTAATACTACTGTTATTTTGGCAGGTTCACTGTGTGTTCTGGTATACTGTCAGCATTGTTGCATGGGGAATTGTTCAAACACTAGACCTTTTACTTATCACTTTGCTGTGGATTTAATAATTAGACTAAGAAAATACTTGCATATTGTACTTCATAATTTCTGATAATAGTTGAGTTGCATAGTGTTACTGAACTGGCGAAGGGCAAAGACTGCTACTGGTGGCACGCTGTATGATCCTTGTAGGTTTAGTGCTTCACTTTTTATTATACTATCGATGGCAGGATCAGCGCTGTATAACCCTTATGGGTTTAGCGCTAGGTTATGATTGTAATACTGGTGGCAGGAATGTCGATTTATAGAGATAATAGAAATTTATACTAGGAAGCCTGAGGGTTGTGTAGATTAATGGAGAATGAAGAAAATTATATACTGTATTACTTTATGTATGCAACTTGTATACATGTGTGCTGCTGATGGGTGGTGTGGCATATTCCATCAAATGATTATCTTCACACAATGCACAAAGGACCCCAATGGAAATAAGTTACTTTGTCTGACTTTTCCCCTCAAGGAAGGTTGCTTGATGCTGGTGGGGGCTCTTGATTTAGGGAACTGGATCTGTGCTCCAGTTCCCTGAATTAACCCTGAATACCTTCCATCCCTCCCACAGGCACTGTATAATCCTGTGGGTTTAGTGCTTTCTCGATATAATAATTGTCTGACTTTTATGGGTTATCCTCCCCTCAAGGAAGGTTCCTTGATGTTGGTGAGGGGCTCTTGATTTAGGGAATTGGATCTGTGCTCCAGTTCCCCAAATTAAGCCTGAATGCCTTCCACATATCCCCCCCCCCCAGGCGCTGTATAATCCTCCGGGTTTAGCGCTTCCCCCTTGATTATAATAATAATAATAATAATATGGGTTATCCTAGGTTCTCTACACATATGCTGCTATGTATGATAATCTATAACTATTTGTGTATACCTGAATACACTTACTGACTTGCACACCTCTTAGCAATATGCACCAAAGTAGTTGTACCACTTACCCTTATTACCCTCCCTCCTCACCCTTTCCCCACATTCCACCCTTACCTATCTTCCGCCCCAACTTGCTTAGTCCTTGTGGCTTAGCGCTTCTTTTTGATTATAATAATAATAATCCCCAACTTGCCAAACCTCTGGTTAAAGAACGTGAACCATAAACTAATACACTGCCCATACATTTCCTTTGTAACATTAAGGTTAAGCGTGTCATGACAGTGGTTCAGAATGTCTATATGGATTGTCTCATCAATGGGACGTCCCAGTCCATATAGATATTCTGTTACTTCAGATATCATCTTTGATACCCTGACATCATGTTTTCTCTACCAACCTTAATTCCATCATTTCCCGTGAAGTTTTCCAAATAAAAATGATCTCTAGTCTTGTCCTATATAAAATATGTTAGGTAAAAGGACATAAGTGAAACTAAAGTGACATTTTATTGTGGCAACGTTTCGCTCTCCAGGAGCGTTGTCAAGCCGCCAGTGCTACCACTACCACCACCACTGCTACCACTACCATCACCACTGCTACCACTACCACCACCACTGCTACCACTACCACCACCACTGCTACCACTACCACCACCACTGCTACCACTACCACCACTGCTACCACTACCACCACTGCTACCACTACCACCACCACTGCTACCACTACCACCACTGCTCCCACTACCACCACTTCTACCACTACCACCACTGCTACCACTACCACCACTGCTACCACTACCACCACTGCTACCACTACCAACACCACTGCTACCACTATCACTACCACCCACCACTGCTACCACTACTACCACCACTGCTACCACTACTGCTACTACCACCACCACTACTACTACTACCACCACTGCTATCACTACCACCACTGCTACCACCACTGCTCCCACTACTGCCACCACCACCACTGCTCCGACTACCACAACTGCTGCTGCTACTACCACTGCAACCACTACCACCACTGCTCCCACTGCTCCCACTACCACCACTGCTACCACTACCACCACCACTGCTACCACTACCACCACCACTGCTACCACCACCACCACCACTGCTACCACCACCACCACTGCTCCCACTACCTCCACTGCTACCACTACCAACACCACTGCTACCACCACTACCACCACCACCACTGCTACCACTACTACCACCACTGCTACCACTACTACCACCACAGCTACCACTAGTACCACCACTACCACTACTACTACTACCACCACCACCACTACTACTACTACTACCACCACTGCTATCACTACCACCACTGCTCCCACTGCTACCACCACTGCTCTCACTACTACCACCACTGCTACCACTACCACTACTGCTCCCACTACCACCACTGCTGCTGCTACTACCACTACTACCACTGCAACCACTACCCCCCTCAAGGAAGGTTCCTTGATGTTGGTGAGGGGCTCTTGATTTAGGGAATTGGATCTGTGCTCCAGTTCCCCGAATTAAGCCTGAATGCCTTCCACATCCCCCCCCAGGCGCTGTATAATCCTCCGGGTTTAGGGCTTCCCCTTGATTATAATAATAATAATGCAACCACTACCACCACTGCTCCCACTACTGCTACCACTACCACCACAGCTACCACTACTACCACCACTGCTCCCACTACCACCACTGCTACTACCCCCACTGCTACCACTACTGCTACACTATTACCACCACGGCTACCACTACCACCACCATTGCTACCACTACCACAACATTGCTACCACTACCACCACTGCTACCACTACTGCTACTAATACCACCACTGCTACTACTACTACCACCACCACTACACTGCTACTACCACCATACTCCCCCACCCACAACTACAACCCCCCCCACAAATCCCCCCCCCACAACTAACTCCACCACTACTCCCCCACCCCCCAAAATATACACCCCACCACTACTCCCCCACCCACTACTAGTCTATACACCCCCCCCAAACTACCCCACCCACTGCTACACCCCCACCACTACTCCCCCACCACTATTACACCACCACTACTCCCCCACCCAAACTACACCCCCACCACTACTCCCCCACCCACTACTACATCCCCACCACTACTACACCCCCACCACTACCCCACCCACTACTACCCCCACCACTACCCCACCCACTACTACACCCCCACCACTATTCCCTCACCCACTATTACACCTACCACTACTCCCCCCCCCACTACTACACCCCCCACCACTGCCCCCCACCCACTACTACACCCACCACTACTCCCCCACCCACATCTACACCCCACCCACAAACTCCCCATCCACTATTACACCCCACCACTACTCCCCCACCACTACTACCCCACCCACTACTCCCCCACCCACTATTACACCTCACCACTATTTCCCCCCCCCACTACTACACCCCCCCCACTGCTCCCCCCCCCACTACTACACCCCACCACTACTCCCCCACCCACTACTACACCCCACCACTACTCCCCCACCCACTACTACACCCCACCACTACTCCCCCACCCACTACAAACACCCCACCACTACTCCCCCACCCACTATTACACCCACACCACTACCCCCCCCCCACTACTACACCCCAACCACTACTCCCCCACCCACTACTTAAAACCCACCACTACTCCCCCACCACTATTACACCTCACCACTACCCCACCCATACTACACCCCCACCACTCCCTCCCCACCCAACTACAACACCCCACCACTACTCCCCCACCCACTACTACACCCCACCACTACTCCCCCACCCACTATTACACCCCACCACTACTCCCCCACCCACTACTACACCCCAACCACTACTCCCCCACCCACTACTACACCCCACCACTACTCCCCCACCCACTATTACACCTCACCACTACCCCACCCATACAACACCCCACCACTGCTCCCCCACCCACTACTACACCCCACCACTACTCCCCACCCCTACTAAAACACCCCACCACTACTCCCCCACCCACACTACACCCCACCACTACTCCCCCACCCACTACTACACCCCACCACTACCACCCACAACCCCCCCCCCCCACAACCACCACCACGAGGGATGGTGGTAGTAGTGGTGGTGACACCTGGTGGCTGGCCAGGGAAGCTTCATGTCAACAGAGAGGTGTCAGCTGAGGCAGAGGAAGACACGTTGAAGGGAAGTTCTTCCTCCACTTCCCTTCATGCTGACGACTCATACATCATGTGGATCAAGCCAGAGGAAGTGCTGGTGGCTGGCGGGTTCTGGTGAGGCTTTCTGAAAGCCACATGGCTGATGTCACGAGGGGAAAAATAGGTGTGGAGTGGGTGGCTGTGGTAGCCTACGTCATGGAAGTGGGTGTAGTTGCTACCTTGAATATTAAGTCCATTTATCCCTGTCACGGCGTCTTGCTGCTGGTGAAGGGCTCTTGATTCAGTGAACTGGAGCCACCCATCGCATTTCTTGAAACAAGTCTTCCAATTCCATAGACGCTATATAACTACGACCCCTCAGGGGAGGTTCCTTCATGCTGGTGAAGGGCTCTTGATCTAGGGAATTGGATCTGTGATCTGGTTCCCTGAATTGAGACTGAATGCCTTCTGCCCCCCCCCCCATAGGCACTGTATAATCCCTAAGGGTTTAGTGCTCCCCACGACGATATATACGAGTTTAATTTTAACTTTTATGGTTATAATCACGACTGATTTTTCCTATGTAATATGCTGCCAATAGTAAGATGAGGTTATGTAAACATGTTACTATGTAAGTGCAGTGCTGTATGATCCTTGTGGGTTTAGTGCTTAGTTTTTATTATAATAATAATACTGTGTACGAGACAGTTGTAATCTCCTAAAACTTATGTAATTGTACTTATGTGTAATTGTACCTAAATTAACTTACTTACACCTCTCTGAATATAATAATAATTACTGTGCTAATTAATGGGCACTTCCAGTTATTCAGTAGTGAAATTGTTGCTGGTTTTTCTGCCTAGTAAACCATTAATAAAATATTATATATTTGATGTATGTATATGTTTTATCTTTTTGTAATGTAAAGATTTGTTTAATGTTTATTAGGAAAAAGATGTATAATACAAACTAAGACATTTTATATTCTATTATCATTAAGTTGATGAATAAGACTCGTGTACAACACTTCGGGGACTGACTACCACCTACCAGGGGTGAGGGACTGATCACATCAGAACTGCCTCCATTGTTTCCAGTATATTTGTCTGTATTCAACTGAAGAAGTCTGTTGTTGCTTTTTTTTTTTTTTTTTTTTTTTTTTTTTTTTTTTTTTTTTTTTTTTTTTTTACAATTGGCAAAATTTATTTTTTTTTTTTTTACAATTGGCAAAATTTAATCTGTTGGATGCCACATTGGTACTGTATTTTTTTTTACTCCTAAATAATAAGTTTATTGTCATGCTTTATTTTAGACAGATATTGAGTACCTGGTTGGTAAGTTTGGATTCATAAAGTAAAGTGGGCAGTTCTTTAAATAGCTACCTCTTCAAGGGGGGCTCCTTGGCGTGGTGAAGAGGCTCTTGGTCTGAGGAATTAGACCTATCGGTCTTCTTCCTCAGACCGAACCTAATTACCCCCCAATCTCCCCTCCCCTATCCCATCCTCCCCATCCTCCCCTTTTTCCTTTCCTCCTCCTCCTCCCCACTCCTCCCTTTTGCCCTTCCTCTTTTTGTCCTTTGGGATTTCTCCCACAGGCACGCTAGTTCCTAGGTAGAGGAAAGGACACCGGGGTCGATCCCATTCCGTTGAGGTTTCTTGGCGGTGGCGTAGTTTGCCGTGGAATCTGGATTGCCTAGGGATGTCCCGATCCCTCTCCGGTATCCCGAGTAGCTTTGGTGTCTTTTGGCGAGGGGTTTGTATCTCTGGAAGCCACCTTTCGGATTCCGGGGGTGGTGGCTGAAGGAGGTATGCTTTGTGGCGGATATCCGGCCGCCCTCTCTTTTGTCCACCGAGGTAGCTCGGCAGATGTGAGGTTGCTATCCCAGATTGCTGGTTTACTGGCATGAAGGGTAGGGTATGGCACGGGTTCCATGCTGCATCTGCGCTACTAGCGGTGTCGAGTCCTCTTGGGCGCGGAGGGAGATTTTCTGGCCCTTTCATTCCTCCTAGGAACTATCCCTCCCCGGTCCCCCCTTTTTTTTTCTTTTTTTTATTTTTATTTTCTTTTCTTCTTTCTTTTTTTTTCTTAAAAACAAAAAGAAAGAAGTAACCTAACCATGGCAGCCCTAGTCCATGAACCTTTTACCCCCGGGCCCCTTCTTGATACCGCACCCCGTTCTGACCCCGCCTCGTTTTTGGGAAACCACTCTTCAGACATTCCTCATGCCTCTGTACCTATTGCCGGTGCTGTTTCCTCACACTGCTTCAGGTACTGAGGCCTCGACTGACCCCTTCGATTTATCAGACCTTCGCTCTCCTCTGACTATGCTTCCGGGCCTCTCCCTCTACGGTGCGGCAATTTTCAAATCGCCGACCCGTTCCACGTCGGACCAACTCTGGTCCCACGCCTAACGTCAACGACAATTACCTGCTGATGATACTTCTCCACCTTCACCTTCTCGTTCTTCTCAGAAAAGATCGACACGTCCTTCACTACCTTTCCACGCTCAGTTTTCAGACTGAACAGTGGACTAAATTCTTCACTTTGCGACCAACTTCCTCTACTGCCTATCTTTCTGACCATAGTATTGGCAAGGCATCCTACGCCATGTTGGTAAAGATATTTTTTCATGCTCTTAAGAGCGGTACGCGCATCATTACCGTACAGAATGCTACCCAGGCTCGTGAGCTCTCTCGTCTTTCCCATATAGATACTGTTCCTGTCACCCTTGAAAAACATCATTCCCTCAATTCTTGTAGTGGTACCGTTATTCTGCCCCATACCATAGTTCAACAAAATTTCCAGACATGCGGCACCGACATTCTAGAACAGCTGGAACTCCAAGATCTCCCAATCCTCAAGGTAGACACTTACGTTCTTCCTGCCCGTGGGCGGAGACGATACCCTAGCAATGTGGCTCGTTTAACTTTTGACAGCCGAGAACTCCCCATCCTCAGTTTATATAGCAGGACATCGGTTACAAGTTCGAAAGGTGATCCCTACACCACAACAGTGTAGAAATTGCTGGCGATTTGGCCATCCAGCGAAATATTGCAGATCTATCGCCGAATGCCCAGTCTGTGGTGCCGATGACCATTCTAATACGTCTTGCAATCGATCTCCCTCTTGCCTTAACTGTCATGAGGCTCACCCTTCGTACTCTCGCCGTTGTCAGGTCTATTTAAACGAGGGGGAAATCCGTTACCTCAAAGAGACAGAAGGTCTCCCTTATGCCATGGCAGTTTCTCATCTCCGCTCCAAGGGAGACTCCCACGTGTTTCTTATTCCCGTGTTTCAAAACGTCCCCCCACTTCTGGTATCCCATCTTCTACACCCCCCTCTGTGGTTACCTCTCCCATAATCACTCCTGTATCTAATCCTTTTGCTGTCCCTCGGCTCAGACGTCCCTACTTCAACGCCTCAGTCTAATCTCGCTTCTTCGAGTTCTCTCTTACAAGCCTCAGTATCGACGAGACCTCGTACGACACCTCTTCCCAATCTTTCCCTCTACTTCTCAAAAGTCAAAAAAAGGTCCGGTAACACCTCCTACCCATCTTCCACCCTCCTCATTTTACCCTCCCTGTCTCGGTCCCTAGTTCTTCCCCTCTCACTGGCTCAGTTACAAGTGCAGAGGTTCACCCTCCTCCTCGTAATGTACCTTCCTCCCCTGTTCCCTCCCAAGTTTCTTCCTCTTTCTGCCACCTCCCAGGTTCCTGTCTCTTCTGTCCCCTGCCACGCTTCTCCAGTTCCCTCCACCCTTTCGCCCCCCCCTACCTTGGTACAGTCCAATACAGTTCCAATCTTTACTCATCCTCCCCTACCATTCCCAATATTGTCCCCCATACGACATCTCTGAATTCTGAAACACTTGAAGCAATCTCTGAATATATTGCAGAAAACCAACCATCAATGGACACTGATCCACCTTCCGCTCTTTCTCTCTTCCTCTGCTCCATCTGCGCAACTCTTTTCTTCACAGCGCACCGTTCCTTCGTGCTTGAACATTTTCCACTGCCTCCGCATGTGGACTTTTCTAACCCTCCTAGTCCGTAGGAACCCTTACCTGCGGATTTCAAGTATCTTTATCATTGCCATTCATGGCCTTTTTACAGTGGAATATACGTGGCCTCAGGGGTAATCGGGGTGAGCTTCAGATGTTACTCTCCCAGTTTGCCCTGTTGGGTTTTGCTTACAGGAACCAAAATTACACTCTGCTGTTATTTCTCACATCTCAGGCTATAATTTATTGTATTCTTCAGATCCTTTTCCTGATGGGACCTTTAATGAAAGTGCCCTTCTTCTCCGCACTGATATTCCGTACCATCAGCTATTTGTTCATACTTCGCTGCATTACACAGCAGCCCGTATCCACTTACATAGGTGGTATACGCTCTGTTTCTTTATATCTCTCTCCTTCTCGGGCATTATCTATTCCCGGGTTTTGCCTTCCTTGTTTCGTCATTACCGCCACCAAATTCTGTTACTTGGTGATTTTAATGCCCACCATTTCCTCTGGGAGGGTCTCACTGTGATTCCCGTGGAATTCAGTTAGAGGCTTTTCTTGCCACCCACCCCCTCCATGTTTTAAAAACAGGTACTCACACCCATTTTGATCCTCGGACTCATACTCTCTCTTGCATCGATCTCTCAGTTTGCTCTTCCTCCGCCGCATTAGACTTTACTTGGTCTGTTTTCCCGGACTTACATGACAGTGATCATTTCCCAATCATTCTTACTTCCCCTTCATATTCGCCACCTCTTCGCACCCCACGCTGGCAATTTAATCGGGCAAATTGGAACCTTTACTCACACCTGACTGTTTTTAAAGAGGTCCTTCTTCGTCCTCCATCGATGAGCTTTTACACCTCTTCTCATCCTCCGTTTTCACCGCAGCTTCTCATTCTATACCCCAAACTTCGAGCAGGCATTCTCAGAAATGCGTGCCTTGGTGGTCTCCTGCTTGTGCTCGTGCAGTACGTTTGAAACGCGCTGCATGGGGCAGGTACCGGTACAATAGAACCACAGAGCGACTCCTTGATTTTAAACAGAAGCGTGCGATCGCTCGCCGTGTCATCCGTGACGCTAAACGCACTTGCTGGCGAGATTATGTCTCCACCATCACCTCTGCTTCTCTA